TTAAAATATTGAAATGCATTACATTCCTGACTATGATGAGCGCATAACGTATTCTTATCTTCCAAAGTTCGGACTTAGGTGTGTTTTGTTTTGAATTAAAATCATATGTATTAGGCATGCGACTTGTTGGTTGCACAATGCAATAACACTCCAAAACTTCTGGAAATATCCGAATAAGACAATTCCATTTAAAAACAAAACCGGTGTCTTACGAATGCTGTATTTTCTGTAGGAGGTACAGTGAAAGCAAAAAGCCAGGACGAATTTATTCAATAATAACAGAAATAACAAACGACCGTTGCTTATTGTTAGCCGTATAGGTAAAGCAATAACATTACCAGGGAAACATAAGCTACTCGAAGGATATTGTGACAAACAATGAGACTATTACACAACTGAGGCCGTTGATGACGTCAAGGTACAAAGTCCACCGAACCAATTGGAAAGTTCAACATTGGAAGCAAAACGTTTGCGCCAACTATTTGGTCTAAATTGTTGGTTGAAATTAGTCGTTAAAGTTAAATAGGTCAATTTGCGTTTTGAAGAGTACAAAGTGCAAAAAGTCTGCAATATTGTTCGATCAAAATTGCCTTCTAGAACGTTCATCATTGCTCGTATGAAAATTTTCACCAATTACAATTTGTACCTACTAGATCAGCGTAAAAATGTAGAGCGCTTTCATATGCACTACTGTTCACGCTAAATCCTTATTTTGCTATTAAAATATCTGCAAATTTTTGATGACGACTGAAGTTTTATTGTTTTTAATCAGTTAATATCGGAAAAGACGGGTTTTCACATAAATAAACCGCGAAGTAGTTATGCAAATTATTGCAAAAACAACTCATGTTTTTGGTAATGTCTGCCTTAACATTTTGGATAGGTAAGGTGAAAATGGTAATTTAGTGAGATTAGAGACACGATAAAATATAAGTTGAGTTATTATTTTTTATTGTTTGTTGGTTGCAAGTGTTGCAACATTGTTATCTTGTCGCTTTGTCTTTTCGGCTTGTCGTTTTCACTAAGTATCCCACATACTACGTCTCATTATACAATCAACCAAAAGTATATGTTCTTGATGTTTTTCAATTCTTTTTACGTGCTGTGTTATTGTTGACGATGCTTCATAAGTCGCTTTATCTATAAGGTGATCAAAATCATTGTTCAATTACTTAAAACCATTACAAAAGCTATTAAGAGCCTGGTAATTTTAAAAATGTAGGTATTTCCAATTAACCTCTTTCCAATAAAATTAGCACGCGATGAGACAGTTTCTCATAACGGTTGGAGTTTGTACCCCGAGTTCTTAGTAACCGTCCACTTATGTTTTAAATAGCGTGAGTAACACTTATTTATATAAAATGTGTTATAGTTTATGCATTTGTTTTATTAACTGCTTGACTGTCTGTCAGTTGCAGTTGTATTCTTAGACTTGCTCTGATTCATTTGGTCGTGTATTTCGTCTATTTTCTCTTTTTTACCCATTATTTCTTCAGATTGACATAAACCACTATATTTGCTGCTTTTGGTTTGTTGATACAGTCACATATCAGTTGATACAATTTACACGCCAGTCACCCTCATCATTGGGAGTCCAAAGGTTTACAGATTAAATTCAACTATAAAACAGAATCTAATTCGTCACGTGAAAAGTTAAGATGGTACATTGAAAAATGGTGTCTAGCGCTACGGTAACAAGGTTGAAAATGAATTTTCAGGATGAGATCACGCAGTGTGCACGTGCCCGTGCGCACGGTAGAGAGTTCACAGCTGTTGTTCAAACAGTGGACTTTGGACCCGAGCCACAATCACCGGTGTAACCGCGTGAATAACGTGTAACGATCCGTTGATTTGTTTGGAGATATTTGATTGAGTCATCACTTCACTTCATCAGTCTTTTATTTCATGACATTGCGATGTATTTCTTGAAGTTTCAGTGAGGCTTTTTCTTATTAACCCATTTGAGCCCGCCGTCCCCATATGGGGACAGGTTTTCTTTTACCCGCTGGTTATTAATTATTTTAGCTATCTTCACATTTCATGGGTATTTATAATGAGGAGTAGTGTACTTTCCTAAAATTATTAGAACTTTTGACAAATTGCTACAAAAAATGGGTCATATTGTCAATTTTATCAAGAGGAAGTGAAATGGGAATTATTATTGAAAGCAGAGGCGTTTTATAGTACGTTATTATGTAGATTTATAAAACTTTTTTGTGATAATTGCTTGCTTATAGTGTCAATTAAAACAATATTGAAGAATATTCTTATACTTTCAATTCCACTTAGGGGAAAGTTAGAAAAAATGATGGTGTCCCCGTATGGGGACAATGGGCACATCTGTAGTATATTTTTAAAACATTTATACCTTATTGTATTTTGTTTTCCAATTTATAAAGGTCACCTATAGGCTAAACTTAGTTATAGCTAATACTTGGTGACAACAGACGCTAATTCACGAAGAGCATCACCAATTCCCACATATCTTTACGCGTTCATATTCTAAAATGATGGGCATCAAGACCGAAGATGCAAAAGTCCACCTACAGTACCAGGCGTCGCATCCGATACCAGAATTCAGCAGTAGGGGGCATTTCCTCCAGCTGTATTCTGGTGTCGTCACAGCGAAGTCCACCCAGAGGATAGAGTAGCATTATGCCCTGTATACGTTGACCACCGCCGTGTCTTCAGGGAAGTGATCGACGACGATAATCTTCCACGTCCATCTTAGGTTCTGGCTGTGGTGCGGAGCGAGGGGAACTGGAAAACATCTCTTTCTGCGAAGCAGTCATAGTAGCAAGAACAGATCGCCGCCCAGAACCAGACCTGTACCTGTAAGGTGCGTGGCGTTACGCGCGTGCTTCAAAGTGCAGATCAGACCGCCTTAGATCGAGATGGCTCAGTGGGACAGATGCCCGACTACTATGAATAACCTAGTGGGTCACCGGGGCTTCGGCTTGAAGCAGAATTAGGAACGTGTTGGTTTTTAGCCAGTAAGAGTCCCCCAGGCGGAAAACGCAATGCATGATTTATACCCTCAAAAAAAAATATAGGCGCGTCACATCAAATTGATTTAGACATTTTCCGCAGAGATTTAGTTAATATCTATTACGATACGCAGTTCATCATAAAAAAAACTGTGATATCAATGCAAATAATGCGTTAGAACCTTATGTGTCGACAACAGTTACTACTTCGAAAAGTACTACACATGAGACCGTTGTCCCCAATCAAGGACGGCTTTTTTTTTAATACTTCTAAAAATATTTTTTGAATTTTTTTTGCTGATTATAGTTTGTGGGCGTCATATCATTGAGTTAATAAAGTTTTTTTTATTAAATTATGTGTAGTTTGCATTTGGTCCCAAATGGGTTAATAAACAATGGTAGTTACTCAATCATATGAATAACTTTGAGAACAATAAATATTATACAGAATGCATTTATCTTCAAAGGTTGTTTGAAGTTTACCTACTGTATATTATTTAGATAAATACAAAACGTATTACGTAGGTGTTATAGATATCAAAAATTCAAAATGAATATCGTTTAGCTAGCAACAGGTTTGAATTTAGATGTTTTTTTTTGTTTAGTCAGACATTTTTTGTACTAAAAGCACTCTTATGAGACCTCGTGGAATAGGTTGTATGTGTGAGTTTTCATTTAAGTAACGCCGTCAAGGTTTTATACACAACTGCCATAGAATGAAGTTTATTAATTTTGTTAAATTGTAGGTCAGTGCTCTTACTATCTTTATAAGTATGAGTAAGTTTCTTACGTGACGCGACTCACGATGAGCGGTAGACTCAAGTAGGTATAGGTAGAGGTACCTACATAATGTTACTATGTTTCTATGTAGATATATTTCAATATACGCTTGCAACTACTAATAGATTTATTTGCACATTATCCAAGTATGATTTAATGTAAAATCCAAATAATCACGTGACTTTTTAGACACCTCTAATCGATCGTTTGAATTGCTAATTATTTTATCATGGACTCGTTAAGTGTATCGATTATAGGTGGGTACTAGTATCGACTTATCTAAGCTAAGTGCTAGTGTTCTAATGTTTTGAACATACATAATGATTATTCTTATGTAGTTGTATTTTTCAAGTTATGACGCTTCTTTAGTCTACTTTTTCTAAGGCACCTGTCCCACAAAGGTCCAAGCTCAAACCAACAAGATCAAAGGGCTATGAAGTTGTGAACTCCTGGTTTAAACATATAGTTGTATGGTGCAATCGCTACTTAATGTTACAAATCTCTTTGAAGCTTGTTACTATGCTCTATTGCAGCATTTTGCCGTTTTCCTTGGCCAGTGTTGAATCAACAGAACATTCGTAAGGATTGCCCTAAATTCAAAATGCATTGAACGATTGGCTGGAAGTCAGCCAGCAGTTAAAATAAACATTTCGGCGGCAATTCTAGAGACAAGATTTTTATAAGCGTTTTGAATAACCTCAATAAAACCCTAATTCATAGACCATGACCACCTTAACAAGGTGTTTTCGTTGAAATAAACAATAGTACAGCAATAATATGAGAACGATACGTTTATTGCATTTCATACAACATCACGAAGGTAAAACGTGTAGAATGCCATTTGCCGGGTCCAAAGTCCGCAAGGTAAACTGACGTCGCCGTCACCGTCGCCGAGCAAACGTGTCTCGAACAATGCTTTTGTTAGATATTAAAATGTAGAATTACTAAGTGAATTCTAGCCTAGCTAACGAACTACCACTACGTACAATTATTTTATACAAAAAAATCACCCATATGTTATAATGATAATGTTACGTCCGTATAATTCTGTTCCTGCTACGTAATTCCCGATTTATAATATGCAATGAACAAGTAATAGATGATTATTCGTTATGAAGAACTGCTGTAATATGGGATGAACTGTTTGTAAACAACTGCTACTGAAAATTAGCGTGCGCAAGTAAAAAATTAATAAAAATATGAATGTTGATATGGTACTTAGTGCATTCTTACCTTTTCAAGGCAGTCTTGTCCAATTGCATTGGGTTCCACTTTGACTTCCAAAATCACAGAATTGGGCTGGCTAACTAACCACATTTTGTCAAAAATTTTGAAGAAAACAATAAAAATAGACTAAAATGAGGTCGAATTATTGTTACGCGTTACTTAATTTCGCGGTTTATCACTTGTCAAACAATGTTTATCTCACTCGCGTAAAGAATTTATTTAAAAAAGTCTTTCTTAATTCGCTCTGCGCAATGTTTATCGCGTATTCTTTGTGGAAGTAAAACTGTGAATACTTCCAGACGACGGCCATACTACGTTAAGTTTGCCTCCGAAATGATAAAGAAAACAGTGACGTTACTGACGCGGGGGGCGCGGACTCTGTACTTTGAGTTAAGCAATGTAAACAGCGTGTATTTATTCAATATTCATTACTGCTTCGACATTGCTGAGCCTTCCGCGACTCGTTCACTAATACATCGATGTAAATAGTACAAAACAATTTTGGTGTATCGCTGATTGTGTGAACACGGACGGGATTGTTGTTTTGTTTCGTTTACTTGTGATATAAAAGAAAGAGACAGAGTTACCGTAGAGGCCAGATCCGGAGGGGCACTGTGGATTTGTTATTGACACGAATTTCTTCAATGTTGTGTTTTATCTTTGTTGTTATTTGTAATTTGTAGTTTTGAGTAAGAACTAAGAACCAGCTAAGATTAAAAACTATGACCTACACTCATTGAACATTTGTTTGATTTCACCAGTGTGTAGATAAGATACCCACCTGAAAAACAGAAAGGTGTATTCATTCGGTATAAAAACCGATTAACATAATTATTAATCCACATTATTCAAAGTTATTTTAATTTCCTAACTTAAGTTTTAAATAGCTCGCAAAATAAAGTTTAAATTACATATTATGTTATGTTCAAAATAAAGTGCACTTTGCAGACGCTAAACGTAAACTTCAAACTTCAAAATTAGAATTTCCCGCTAAATAAAACAAGTATTTTTTTTGTCTCTGATACACATTTTTTTGGACGGAAAAACAAAAAATCTTGATAAAATTAATATAGATTTTAATAATCATATTGATTTTTTTGTACATTGCTTTTTTTCACTTGTAATACGTGAATTATAAATAAATATTATTTATTGAAAAATGTGTTCTAACTCCATGGTGAAACCATAGACAAGATCATTTAATATTGGTTTGTCGAAATATTATCGTGTTGTTCAAATAATGTTTTATGATATTGCTGAATAACGTGGTAAAAATTGTAATAGGCATTAATTTTAAAATAAAATAGCACTGACGTTGTTGCCATCTATTGAAAAATAAATAAAACTAATTATCAACACGTCACATGCAATCCATTACGTGCAGATTTATATATTTTGCCTTTTAAATTTAATGACGAGATTTTGACTATTTGTTGCTTTTATTTCAAAATGTAGACACCGTAATAGTAATTATTTCCTGTACATCTACTTACAAAAATAAAGCGTAAACATTCGATAATAATATTCGCATAGCATTAATCTCAACAGTTACGGTTCACGCAGAAATACAAAAGCACGAGCCGCTGACAGCGCCAGTTGTGACAACCTAATGGTACTAAAGTAATCATATGACTTTCGTCACGACCATCTACTGCGCTTATTGATTTGTGTCTTGGTCTTGATTCTCGCTCGACATAGTTTTTGTGTGTATCAGAAATGGCGAGTCAGACACAGGGAATCCAACAACTGTTGGCGGCTGAAAAGCGCGCTGCTGAAAAGGTTTCAGAGGCCAGGAAGCGTAAGTTATTTTTGTCATACTACGTATTTTACAATTAGGCCTTGTTTGTTCGTTTCCACTTTGGGAGTTACTTTGTATGTCATATAAATCTTGTTTCCAGGCGTTCATTAACTGCATACCTTATAAATCTTCATGAAAATATGGTTTATTTGTGATATACTTGATCTGATGACTAGATCACATGATTGTCTCACTACACCCATCGCTTGATGACTGATTCAATTGATAACAGCTTCTGGTTACCTCTATCATCTTAGTAGAAGTAGAACTTGTTCTTATATGAGATGAATATTTGAGTCTTACGTCATTTTTCACTGACTGTGCCAAGCTAATAATGAATTTGCATGAGTTACTGATAAACATTTTCCAATAAGACTTTTCTCACTAAAAACCTTAATTAACTCCTTCATGTTAGTACTTGATGATTTTCATTATAGTTCCATTCTCATAGGACTATGAAACAATACATTGACATTCTAAGTACCTACCAGTCTCATTCTAATTTGCATGCTATTGTCTATGATAGCATGATCTTCCTAGCTGAATAGCCTTACATAAGTAACAAGTTCCTTTGTACAGACTCACTTCCTGAGTAAATACTCAAAGGAAAGATACTGCATACTCTAGATCTGTAGATATGAAGGTATTTTGAGCAAAATAACAAGGTTTATCTCAAGACCTTGATACTTCTCTTGTAATTCATCATAAAACAATCAGATCTTGATTAATTACTTGACATTAGGTTTTTACCTATTTATTGGGTTGGGATTGAACTGGGTTCAGATGTTTAACACTAATTCTCTGCATAAATTACAATGTTAAATAACTAATAAGGTCCTATGTTACACATATTGAAGTCATACTATGATAATTTGTACGAAAATCTTACTGAGAGATTCTTCATCTCGATGTGACACTGAATCTCATTACATAAATACAATTTTTATACTACACTTTCTAGTACTATTTTGTAATATAAAAAAATTGAATGTTACAGGGAAAGCAAAACGCCTAAAGCAGGCTAAGGAGGAGGCCCAAGATGAGGTGGAAAAGTACAGACAGGAGCGTGAGAGGCAGTTCAAAGAGTTCGAGGCCAAGGTGAGTTGAACTGAATGAACTGGGTTAGTTTATCACCTGTAGTAGGAAGGTTCCAAATGCTGAGTAGTTAATTGGACTGTGAAGGCTATTAGAATCAAATTGAGAGTATTATTGTCAGAGTAAGGTGCCTCTGCTACTACTGAAGTTGAAGGTTTCAAAATATGGACCTAATAAGGATGACATTGTTTTCTTGTTTAGACATCATACAGTATAGCATATTGTTTAAGTATTGTAATGGGTAGTAAGTCAGATTCAAATTCTATGCCTATCAAAGGGTTTTGAATGAAATGTTCAATAATGAATTAGTACTGCTATTTGAAATAACATGCAGAGATACAGTCAACTGTTGCTCAAATTAGATCAAAGAATAATACTGAAACTGTCCAACACCGCAAGGACACCGGTGACTGCAACCTATTGTTCTTTAATTGTGTCTATAATGACGGTACTCAAAGGGTTAATATTGAAGAAAAATGGTAGAAGACAGTTACTACTTATATTTAGTTGGCCATAGAATAGAAGATTAAACTGTCAAACACCAAGTGGTCACCGGTGACCGCAACCTATTGTTCTTTAATTGTGTCTATAAATACGGTACTCGACGAGTTAATCTTAAAATATTGTTATTCTTAAAACAAAAATGACGAATTTGTTCTGCAGGTTTAATCAAATAGAGTTTTGACAGATTTGATAAATGGCAAGAGTTAGATTGATGTTATCTTCTCAGCTGTGTTAGATAATTTGCTGTTTGCAAAAATTTTCATCATTTCCATCACTTTATAGATGGGTAGACAATTTTGTTACAAAATAGAATGTTATGTAAAGAAAACTTACATTAATCTTACAGATGTAGCCCTTTAGGTTCCTCTTTCTTAAATTATTGATATTGTTCAATTGAAATCTTAATGATGATTACAGCAATATTAATTATAGTTGATTTGTCATTGATTTCAATAAATAAATACAGTTCATATTTACGCTGTTTTCAGAGGGAATTACCATAAAAAAATCCAATTCTTTTTAATTTTGAACCTCTTTGTCTGTCATTATATGAGACACAATAGTAAACATATTGTGTCTCGCGTAGATCTGCGTTCCGAAAGTTCACAGGTAACTGTAGTTCATTTGGATTAGCATAAGGGTTGAATATTAATAAATTGTAGAGAGTGTATTGGTTGGTAGAGAATGCCATTCGGCATTAAGTCCGCCATTGTATACATTTGTACATAAAGTGTTAAATAAATAAATAAATTGTAAGAGAACGCTTTGTTAAGAGTTCTCTATAAAGTTGCGGCTCTAATTCTGAAAAATGTTACATTTTCTAATATTATAATATCTGTGCAGCACATGGGCACCCGGGAAGGTGTTGCCGCCAAGATCGAAGCTGAGACCAAGATCAAGATCGAAGAGATGAACAAAATGGTGAAGGCACAGCAAGAGGCCGTATGTATCAGTTTTGCTTGTATTTATTTTATAAAATAATATATATCACACAGATAAAGACAGCCACTTTAAAAGGTACAATTACTGGTAGCGGTCTATTCATTTATTTATTATTTGCAAGATAATATTTATCCACATAGTTTCACTGTTTTCTCTTTTATTAAATCCGAATTGTAGACATGAGTAACAGTTTTGTAATAATGTAAGCATTGGGTACAAAATTTAAGAAACCTGTGTTTCTTTCTGATAGCAATGTTTTGCTTAAAGACGCGTTTAGCAACTTCTTTGAATGACCTTCGTAAGATGACGTCATCTACTCAATGGTTGTATTGAGTCGCTAGAAGTAAAGCTATGAGTAAGTAATTTAACCTGCTTATTATTGCTCAAGCACCGGGAAGAAAGCTCTAATATGATATTTTAGTATTTCTATTACAAAATTGGGATAATGACAGGGTATGAAAATTAAAAATATAATTCCGTAAGTTAGGTAATGAAAAAATATTAGACACGTATTTTTTTATTTTGTCCTATAATAAAACAATACTTAGAAAAACGAAACAAAGTTTAGGAGTGGGGCTAAAACGTCATTTCTACGTATAAAACGTACATAGAAGTGACGTCACGCGACATTACAAATCAATATATCGTCGAAAGTATACGTTTTTGTAAGAAAATGAAAAATACGTGTCTAATGATTTAAAATAATCTACCAGACGGACATTAAAATAAAAATTAGGCATCTACCCTATTGTCAATTTTCTTAAATCACTTTGTAAGAAGTATGGAGTTACCATCACTATTACTACGTAGTATAAAACAAAGTCGCTATCCGCCATCTGTCTGTCCCTATGTATGTTTAGATCTTTAAAACTACGCAACGGATTTTGATGCGGTTTTTTTAATACATAATTATTGTGATTCTTAAGGAATGTTCATATGTATAATACATGCATATTGCACCCGTTCGAAGCCGGGGCGGGTCACTAGTTAACTATAAGAAAGATGCTAAACTGTTGCAAGTACATGCACAGATAAAAACGCCACTGACATGTTGGTGCTTCAATAATTTCCAAGAGACATTTTATATATGATTGTTTTAGTTATCTGAATAAATATATATGATTGTTTTAGTCAGACTGATATACAGAATTTTCTCTTAAGTCATGGATACATAGTACACAACTAGTGTTGTGTACTATGCGTCTACACTCGTCTAGTATTATAGTTACTTACAGTACTACAGTCGTATGTATCTATGACTTAAGAGAAAATTCTCCAGAACAATTTGTTTTTCAAAGACACTAATATAATTTTTCATCTGTTTCCAGGTGATCAAGGATATCCTCAACCTGGTGTACGACATCAAGCCAGAACTGCACACCAACTACCGCATCCTCTAAGCGCATTAATTTATATAAAACCTGTTTGTCGCGTATTAAACACTTTGCGATCACCTAGTTGTTATCTTTATGGTATTTCTTTTTAATCATAGGTCATAGGCACACGGCAGAAGTACACAAGCTGTCACACTCGATGACAATCGATTATAATCGATTCGAATCGATATGTGAATTTTACATCGATTTTAACGGTATAAAAGCAGCCGATTACGATTCTGAAACATCGGACTGCGGCACTCCATTAAAGCAATGAATGGAGTGAACTGATTAAATCACGCGGGTCTGTCCGTTAGCTGTAAATACAAGTGTCGCTTGGTTTCGCCCTATTTATGAAATAATCAGTCAATATTCTACGTGTTAAGAGATCAGCTCGGTATCATTCCAAAATACGTTCGAAGGTCCGATTGTAATGAACACAAAAAAATTATATCTATAATCTTAAAATTGTATGTTATTCAATGTTGTATGTTGAATAGAAAATATTAAAAGTTTTAAAAATTTATCCTAATGGTCTTTTCTTGAATAGTTGAGCGAGTAAAGTGGGTGTACAGTATTAGTGAAAATATATATGTGAACGTTGTCTATTTGTTTGTTTTATTGTATTGCGACCATTTCAGGTTGGTTTCAGGAAATTAAAGACTTGTTTTGGTTTTTTAACATTTAATTCCGTAGACATTTTCTAAAGTCCTTAACCAAAACGTTTTGTATTTCCTCATTGTATTAGCGACCTGTAAGTAAAACAGACATTAAATTATAATAATTAAAATCTTTTCGAAATTGTATTTGCAGTAGCTTGGAGTAGTAAAGTACCCTCTATTTTTAGACTTAGGTATACCTAACTAGCGACAGCTGGATGTTGCATTATGTAATGTCACTACTCATCTCGACTCCGCCCTTATACCTTTACAGTTCTCTTTGAGGCTTACAAAGAGTGATGTTATGTAAAGTAGCGGTAAAACGGGGTGAATAGAATTCGAGGGGTGAATAAATGTTTGGAAAATATTCTAACATTTATCCACCCCATTATCATTCACCCCTCGAATTCTATTCACCCCGTTTTACGGTACTTAGTAGTACCTATATGAAAAACATTAACTCAAGAGGGTACATAAACCGAAAAAATCCCAGTACGTTGCCCTTCCTAGGTACTTGAACTCCGGGCTTTTGCTCGGTAATCACACACATACAAACACCACAAGCGACGCAGTCTAGTATTCCACCCTTACCGTAATTGCACCTTCTTTTGCCCGAGACTATCGAGCCACGACGCGATAGCTCCTACAGTGGAGAACACAGCGGGCTGGTCCGCCTGGTCACAGCGCTTCGACGAGAATGAGAGCACTCCTATCAGTACACCGTCCATTACTGCTGGGCCACCAGCGTCATGCTGGAAGTGATGGGAAATTGGTAGAACATTAGTTTGATTGTATAGTTATGAACTGTTGTAGACTTTATTTAGGTTCCTACATCATCATCAACAGCCTATAAATGCCCACTGCTGAGCAAAGCCTCTTCTCACACGGAGAGGGTTAGAGCATTAATCACCACGCTTGCTCAATGCGGGTTGGCGATTTCAAACTTATAATTAGAAATTATAAGTCCGGGTTTCCTCACGATGATTTTCCTTCACCGTTTGTCAGTGGTGTCTAAATAATCTTAGAAAGTACATATAACTCGGAAAAAGTCACATTGGTACTTGCCGTTGGTAGGTTTCGAACCCGCACCCTCATGCATGAGAAGTGGGCGTCTTAAACCTCCGGGCCACCACGACTAATACAGGTTCCTACATACTTTTCGGAAAACCCCTAAGATTTCTTCCAAGAATTTCAAAGACGGTTGAAGCAAGTTTTCTTAAAAATTGGTTTGTAAAATAGTCTTATCAGAGTATCATAATATTAGGTAAAACTTACATTACAAACGTTTTTCGGTACCGTAATGAATCCTGCGCAGAAATTCGTTCGGGTGACTAAATCTCTGCAAATGTGAAAATAGCATACACGATCAATGTTGTCTGTAATTAAGTCATGTGTACTATATGAGTAGCCAGTTGAGTAACTACGTATTAAGTAGGTACCTACTAACTACATATGCTAACATTATCTTACTCCTAAAATCCCAAAGCTAAAACCGCTCTTGGGTAGGTACATACTATGACTTTGTGTTTATAAATGGATTGGAAAACAAAACTGGTATTAAACTGCAATTGCATAGCAAACCCAAAGGCGTTTAAAATCTACACAGCGACCTAGGCAAGCGCCTCATAGGCGTCCCTAACTTTTTTTGAGCGTCGCTGTCACTGTATGGGCACATTCGTCTCGCAGCGTCCGACTGTAAGCTAAGTGTGGGGCAGCCATGCTTCGGCACGAATGGGCCGGCTCGACCGGAGTGATACCACGGCCTCACAGAAAACCGACGTGAAGCAGCGCTTGCGTTGTGTTTCGTCGTGTGAGTGAGGTTACCGGAGGCCCAATTACCCTACCCTTCCCCAATCTCCCCAATCCCTGAATCCCCAACGATCCTCAAACTCCTAATCCCCAAAAAGCCGGTAACGCACTTGCAACGCCTCTGGTGTTCCAGGTGTCCATGGGCGACGCCGATTACTTACCATCAGGTGATCCGTCGGATCGTTTACCGGCTTATGCCATAAAAAAAATGTGCAATAATTAACGATACTATGGCTCTAAGAAAATCTTCTAATGTGCATCCAGGAGGTCCATCCCATAATTCAGCAGTCCGGTGCACCTGACACGGACTCTTGATAATTGATGGTGATCTGTAACGTCACTTACTTGCCGTATATCTCCTGACAGTCTGCTGAGTCGTATACAGGGAGCGTGACCTTCTGGAGTAGGACCTGACCTCCCGCGCCATTGATACCCTGAACCACATGAAAATAAGTATTAATTATACTAGTATAGGAAAAAACTGAGATAGTTTACGATGTTAAGTACTGGTCTAATGGGGGAGAGTGAAGATATTTGTGCGACGTAGTGGCGTTGTCAGGATCAGATAAGGAGGCTGGTAGGATGCCGATATTACCTACTATTAATTTGTCTTAAATCATCAGCGTTAATCGTTATTACTGATATATATATACCATTGCAGTTGCTGCGCTTCTTACGCGTTATACATCTGTAGTTAAACTCTGAAACCGTAGGAAGAAAAAGTAGAAAAATTGAACATACCAAAACAGACCCCCAACCAAGGAACACGATCTTATTATCGACAGGTACAACTTTGTCTCTGGCGAAGGCAATCTTGTCGATGTAGGGGTCCTTTCTACCGAAAGTCAGGTTCTTATGGAGCTTCAGTACTGCGTAGTTGAACTCCAAGGTCTGTGGCTTGTAGTTAGGATGAAAGAAGATCTCGGAGACACGCAGCAGGTCCCCACCGTCCGTGGCGTTCGTGGAACCAACCCTCACCGTCAACATTTTCACATATTCACGGAAGAATCGATTATTATATTGACTGAAAAGAATCATAAAAGAAAAAACTACCTAAATATCAGTTTTTCTTGCGTGAGTATAGTAAACTTATTCGAATACATTCCATTTACACAACTGGGAATAACAAGTTATAGAAACAAACGATGTAAAATGGTGTGAAAAAAAACGATGTAAAATAATTAGATTATAGAATTTCCCTACATACCTAGCACACTAAATCTAATACTACAGCCGTAGTCCGTAGAGAGTAGCGCTTAGTATGTAGCTCGTAGAGCGTAGCGCTTAGTATGTAGCTCGTACAGCGTAGCGCGTAGTATGTAGCTCGTACAGCGTAGGTAGTATGTAGCTCGTACAGCGTAGCGCTTAGTATGTAGCTCGTACAGCGTAGCGCTTAGTATGTAGCTCGTACAGCGTAGCGCTTAGTATGTAGCTCGTACAGCGTAGGTAGTATGTAGCTCGTACAGCGTAGCGCTTAGTATGTAGCTCGTACAGCGTAGCGCTTAGTATGTAGCTCGTACAGCGTAGCGCTTAGTATGTAGCTCGTACAGCGTAGCGCTTAGTATGTAGCTCGTACAGCGTAGCGCGTAGTATGTAGCTCGTACAGCGTAGGTAGTATGTAGCTCGTACAGCGTAGCGCTTAGTATGTAGCTCGTACAGCGTAGCGCTTAGTATGTAGCTCGTACAGCGTAGCGCGTAGTATGTAGCTCGTACAGCGTAGGTAGTATGTAGCTCGTACAGCGTAGCGCTTAGTATGTAGCTCGTACAGCGTAGCGCTTAGTATGTAGCTCGTACAGCGTAGCGCTTAGTATGTAGCTCGTACAGCGTAGGTAGTATGTAGCTCGTACAGCGTAGCGCTTAGTATGTAGCTCGTACAGCGTAGCGCTTAGTATGTAGCTCGTACAGCGTAGCGCTTAGTATGTAGCTCGTACAGCGTAGCGCTTAGTATGTAGCTCGTACAGCGTAGCGCTTAGTATGTAGCTCGTACAGCGTAGGTAGTATGTAGCTCGTACAGCGTAGCGCTTAGTATGTAGCTCGTACAGCGTAGCGCTTAGTATGTAGCTCGTACAGCGTAGCGCTTAGTATGTAGCTCGTACAGCGTAGCGCTTAGTATGTAGCTCGTACAGCGTAGCGCGTAGTATGTAGCTCGTACAGCGTAGCGCTTAGTATGTAGCTCGTACAGCGTAGCGCTTAGTATGTAGCTCGTACAGCGTAGCGCGTAGTATGTAGCTCGTACAGCGTAGCGCTTAGTATGTAGCTCGTACAGCGTAGCGCTTAGTATGTAGCTCGTACAGCGTAGCGCGTAGTATGTAGCTCGTACAGCGTAGCGCGTAGTATGTAGCTCGTACAGCGTAGCGCTTAGTATGTAGCTCGTACAGCGTAGCGCTTAGTATGTAGCTCGTACAGCGTAGCGCGTAGTATGTAGCTCGTACAGCGTAGCGCTTAGTATGTAGCTCGTACAGCGTAGCGCGTAGTATGTAGCTCGTAGAGAGTAGCAGTGTTTTCCCACTATCCTATAAATCTCGTCGGCGCGGCGTGCATACCGGAGCCTCAAATGGCAAAGCTATTAATGGTAAACCCTCGTTTAGCACATTACAGAAGCTGCGCAACAGATTGCGGGCTGTCAGTCGAAGTTGTGAAATAAGTATAATATTAAATACCTATTTAACGTTTAATTGCTTGTTTTGTCTTGGTCGAAAACATTTGTGACTTACAGTTGTAAGCAGTGAGCGGCAGTAAGGATCTTGTCTTTGTCAATGATGACGCCGCCACACCAGAGCTCGTTGTTCACCAGCAGGGCGGCCATGTAAGGGAACTCCTCGATGGTGGCCACCTCGTCAGGGTTGTAGATGCGGCGGTAACGACGGTCTAGCACCAGTTTGGTAGTCGTAGCCTGTGTAGCTGGCATTGCTAAGATTAAATTATGAACAGTTTAGAGTTCTTTCTGGGACCCACACACAGGTAGCTAACGTGAATAAATCTATAAATATTTAATGTGGAAGCTTGAACCAGTCGATAGTGATGGACAGAATTTTAAAATTACCAATTGATTGTGATTATGCCTAAAACACAGTAAACTATCTTCTTCTGCATTGTGTGGATGGGTGGGAACAGAAAGACGCGCTTAATTTCTTGTTATTGAAACCCAGGTAATTAACTAACACTATATTAAGATGAAAACTGCCAGAAGACTATAATTTAAGGAAAGAACATTTGACGAAAAATAAAGCAATCCTTACTTATTTCAGCGTCAAGGTTTGCGCCATCAAAGTCCTTTCGGTTGGGGTACTCGATGGGTAGGCCCTCGTACTGCCACTCCTTTGCCACTACATTGTCCCGATTCGATCTTCTCGGGTCTTAAACAAAATAAAAAAATCATCCTGTGGGTAGTGTCCCACGTTTGGGTACAGTTCTCTTCACATACGGTCAAGGAATGCTTACTCAAAGCAAATTTCATACTTAAGGCGATGTAGGAGGAATGAAAGTGTTCCTTCACCGTATGTCAAGATTGTACAAATTAACTTACCAATATCTAAGAGAAAGACACGTTTGTAATTGTACGTGGTAGGTGGACTCTCGCCTTCTGAAGGCTTTTGCAAATAAGTCATTTCGTATAACAAGTAGATTAAAAAAATAACACTAACAATTCTCAAGGAGAATAGTTTGTAACACTGTGTAATGAACATACAGTAATAAATATGTATGAGATATTCGACAATGCATGAATGAAATCAATTTTGAAACAATCGCACGTCAACACAGGCGTAGTTAAGAAGTGCAATATTTATTATACTGTGTTAAAAATTAACGAATAGAGCAATCAGTATCAAAATTGTAGTTTCATTCATGTATCGTGAAAATTTCAAAGTAGGTACTAAAATATTTGTTAGTGTAATTTTATGAAAATGGTTCCTTGTATTTAAGTGCTATGGGTGTCCATGGTGTGTATACGCAGCCCATCTTAATATGCCTTCAATATAAAAACAAATAAATGTAAAATAACTAAGATGTCTTCTAGTTTACATAACTCACTTAACTATTCATAAAATAGTTGTTCAACATACGTGGTTATAGGCTTTAATATTTCGATTGACCAATCACATACAGCCGCGATACTTATGGTTCTACATAACGACCAATCGTAGCGCTTATTTTATTGATTTCTTATATACTTACTTTCTGCTGACACTTGAGAGGACACAGAGGAATCAACGTGTGACGTCACGTAGGTCATTGAATGCATTATAAAAAATAAGAACATCAAAATTCTTTGACATCGTCCTTTTCTCATCTTTATGATGTTCTGCAAAGATAAATATTTATTGAGCATAATAATCTATACATCTCCTTTTTTTTCTTTTTCTGTAAATAAAGCTGAAGAGCGTGTGTCTTTGAATGCGCTAATCTCCGAAACTACTGAATCGAATTGAATGATTATTATTTTTGTGCTGCATAGTCAATTTCTCGAGGAAGGTTATCATACACATCACGCTACTATTAATAGAACTGAGCTGAGTGACGTGGCGCAGGGGTAACTAGTTAATGATATAGGTGATTGATGGATTACCTATATTGAATATAATATGTGTTTAGTACTAGAGGATGCAGGAAATAAATAAAGTACAAACGATGAGGATGTTTAGCAACTTGGCTCGTATATTGGCTTCATGTAATTTAATAGCTACACGCATCCTGTTTCCTTCGGACGCAGTTTCTGTTGTAATTTAGTGTATTTTTATACACGCATTTACTGAAATCGAATAGCTAACTAGGTAAGCACCTAGTGTTTGTTAGTAGATGAAAGATTTTATACTATAATTAGGTTTCAAAACTCACCTATTATGCTGACACTGAAATGCTTCAATACAAATATCCGAATCCAATTTCTCAGAACAATTTCATGTTATGTTGTTTCCTGACGCAATAAAATCAAACGAAGTAACGTAGCTATAGAAATATTTTATTACATTATTTACACGATAACTATAAACAGAATACTATATACAATACGAACAAGACATTATAGTTTTAGGTACACATGACTTTAATAGAACGAGGGTTTATTTTTAGGAAAACAATTTCGTGTCTATTGCTTAATGCCATCCTTTGCCCCAGCCTGAGCCCCAGCCATAGCCGGTCCACCCGCCGAGGGACGAGCCCCAGCCGAGCCCTCCCCAGCCCACACTGACGGGAGCAGCGATGACAGGAGTGCGGATGATGGGAGCGGTGACAATGGGGGCAGACACCACGTGGCGCACGACCGGCGCGGACACCACAACGCGAGGGATCGTCACACCGTGGTTGATGAGGCTGGAGCTTACAGAGTACGATGGCAGCAAGACGGGAGAGGCTGAGGGACAAACAACAATATTTCTAACCCAGAAACGTAAGAAAACTCACAAGTTTGGGCTAAATTATCAGTTAGTTTGAAAATCTGTTAGACTTTAACTAAGATTGCAGCTGATAATATTTTAAAGGGTGATGTAACATCTTATCTCGGTTTAACCAAAGTCCATAGATAACTAGCCAAGTACCTGCCTACAGGTAGAGAGTAGATAGTGTACAAGTTTATAGTATCGAGTTTCCTATAGATATGAAAATGTTTAATACGAATGCAAGACACAGACAATTTACTTGTATGTATATGAGGTATCATATGAGAGGCAGGCAGTCTATTACGGGCTGTTAACGATGAAAGTTAATTATATGATAATACTATAGTTTTATTATAATTAATTATCTCAAACAGAAGTGTGTAGTGAGTACTAAACCACACTGCAATACACTAGACATTATAGTCCCAATTAGTCTTTAAAGTGTCCGAGTATGTGAGTAAGATGAAGGCAAGCAAATGAAATTTTGCTTACCTTAGCGGAATTTTCTATGCATGGACTTGGATTTAGTGTTCAAATAGTGTCTATAATGAAATGAGGAGTTACCGAGGCCCAGTCCCAGTGGTGGGACAGGGTTGGCGACCACCATGCCGATCAGGGCCAGAACTAATGCCACCTGCGAAGGAAAATTCTTAGATTAGATAATTCATGAATAGTTGCTTCTACAAGCCTAGCATAATATTATTCAAATCACAGATAAGGATGTACAGAACTAAAAAGAGAGAGAGATCTATGCTCAGCGGGGATGACACCATAATATTTCAGCATGATGATAAACACTATGAGATTATTATTTAGCAAATCGCAAAAATTACTAGGGATAGATATACAGACATCAGGATTATTCTGCAGTACTTTTCTAGAATTAGAAAATTGTATAATTGCAGGATAATGAGTGTATTATCAGATAACATTTAATTAGAAACTAAAACTGTCACTACTAGAAGTAGTAAATTAATTTTCTTCAACATTTCCTTAAAAAACAAGTCGTATAATTTAACGGGCAAAAGGAAACAAAATTCAAAATCTTGACAAGTACTCACCGCGCACTTCATGTTAGTCTATTTACAGGTTTGCACTGAAATGTAAACTGAATTACTTATGATTAGCATTGGGTTTATATATCGATTGTGGTAGGACATGCATCACTGCCTCCATGTATCCTGTCGGGAAACTTTGCGCCATTCGCTGCATTAAACATTATATTATGCCCTTTCGACAGGCCAGTTTTACTTTTGAAAGAGTTTATGATTCAAGTTGTGTGTGTTGAGACATTCATTTGTTAAGGGATATTAATAAGAAAAACATACTTCTAGAAAGAAGTAAATAATTAAATTCATCTCATTTCTTTACGTACATTTTTACAAAATGTTCATATCCTTAGCTTTACGAAACATGCTTTATTTCTTTTCTTCTTTTTTTTAATGTTTAATTTTGTTATAACCAAGGTTCTAAAGGTCTATTAAAAGTCTTTAATTTTATGTTCCCTAAAATAAGAATGTTAATTTCGTTAGTAGTAGTTTCTTTATAGTAACTAAAACTTATTGTTCTCGATCATTATTGTATTTATAGTTTTTATTATCACTTAGGTAATTAAATGTTGGTTAACCTATAATTGGCGACTGTATAAGCCTAAATACTAAATGTTACTTTCATTCACTTAATGCTATGTATACAGTAGCTGTCGGTATACCTATTTAAATAAATAAATAAATAGGTTTATAAAGCGTCGGCAAGACGCATGTAATGCCCCAAGTGTTGCAAGCGTTCATCGCCCACGGTAATCACTTACCATCAGGTGGGCCGTGTGCTTTTTTTGCCACCGACGACGTGGTATAAAAAAAAACATAGTGTAGGATAGAGCGCGCCCCACAGCTTTGGAATTGGTTTTAATCTTAATTTGTAATCATTGGACCGACAGAATGTCCAAAATAAACTTTATTAATTTCGGCTGTAAGTGTAGTGACATAGTGACTGATGATGCAGCTGTGTCAGCATTGTGGCAGGCCGTCATTGGATGGCGTCATGAAAAGCTAAAAATGTACCCAGAAATTAGCTGGATTGTGACGAATTTATAATGACCACAGAACATATAAAGAAGGTTTGTAAGTTCTATGATAATGACTCTTTTTTTCAAGAACTATACCAGAACTTGGTTTTATTGTTATCCATGTTTGGTTGCATTCCATAATCGTAGCAATTGGCGTTCCATAATTTCTGCCAACCCCCATGGGAGATAGCTAGCGTGAGATTATGTATGTATGTATGCTTGCATTGCAATCCCTTTGAAATCTATATCTACAAGTTAAACACTCATGCTACTACTGATTTTGAAATCGGAAGAGACAATATTACTGTTCCATTAATTCGTTACTGAATATAGGACTTCTAGCTCCTAGCTCCGCAGTGGTTAATTTGAATACCGAACAACATTTAAGGACGCTCGAATATTGAAAGACCCGAATACTGAATATCGTGCCATCTCTGTCATTATACAAAGAATTTGTTGTGACAGAACTACACTTAAGTGCGACTTAAAATTCACTGGCGGTTCCCCTATATCCTCAAGCGGTCACCGGTGACCGCTCTCCACTAAACATTATAGACCTTATTCCCGATGTTTAGAGACTACTTTTGTATGAACAAATTTAGGGGATGATATTTCAGATATTTCATTGGTTCAAGAAACATTATAAGCAAAACCTGCGTCATAAATTGACCAATAAAGTGCCAGTTAAAATAACAAAAACATTACAATTTGGAATGTTAATGAAGTACTTATTACATGGTAATAAAGTTTGTTTTTGCCGTGATAATGACAGGAACTAATATATTATCGTACAATTGCACTATTGGATTACGTTAATCACATCGCACCGACAACTGACTGAATAATTGAGCTTTTTATTCAAATACACCTTACTTGCATACTAAGGTAAGCAACTCTGTTTTTTAAATCTAAGTAAATAGAGTGTCTATTTTTCTTTGAATGACTAATAAGCATCATTTCACGCAAAATCTTTCTTTTAGATTTGAGTATGTACCTAACCTACTAAACCTAACACCTAACTCATATTCCAAATTCTAATCTATACATATAATAAGATCTTAGGAAAGTAAAAACTGTACACCGAATATTTTTTTTAAAAGAATGCTTAGGGCGTGATCTACAGTCAATACCGAAACCAAAAATATGGTTTTTATCCGGGATGAACTCAAAAAATGCTGCATGGATTTATTTCAAATTTTGCATGAATATTACTAACAGGTCGGGTCAACATATAAGCTACATATTATCATGCTATTAACTACGGGGAAGGAGCTGTGAATTACTATTCCACGCGGACGAAGTCGCGGGCTCAGCTAGTTTAGTAATAAGATTTAATCTTTTGAGGACCTACATGCAATTCTCAACCTCAATTGGCTTTTCTCCTACTCTTGCAATGTTAATGTCAATAAGATATACTTAGTGCGCTTTATCGTATCTGTGAATAATTGCAAAAAATACAATGTTTACTTTTATCGTAAGGTACTTAGAAGTTTATGGCGCTTAGAGTTTTCAGGGGCTTAGGAAAACAAGTATTATAAACGGAACTCTTTAATTAATAATTAAATAAATCAGCATAATAACATCTTAATAAAATCAAAAAAAACTACTAAATAGACCAACGTCTGGCCTATTACAGCACGCAAACAAAATAATGCGAAGCTAATGTCGACCAATCATATTACATAGACATTCAGTAACGAATATAAAACACGTTCCGATTGGTTGAAATTTCCGTCAAACTAAAATAGACGTCATAGACAACATACCATTGTAGAATGTCGAAAACGAATCTTAACATTTTTTTTCACAAAAATATATTTGCTGATCTTTCTTTTCGTAAAATAATGTCGTCAAAAATTTATTTTTTTCTTTCTTCCAAGGACAGCTGCAGTGCGCAGGCGCATGCGTTTAGATTACATGATAATGGTGCATTAGTTTCGCGTCGTTCGTTCTATTAACACGTCTTTAACCTAAGCTGTAGCTTCATAAAGTCGACGATACACATAATCGTTACTGAAAAGAAAAACAATATTTATTACATTTTTAACACGTGAGAGAGTTATACTTCTGTACAAATAGACTGGTTTGACTAGACTAATAGGTACTACAGGTGAAAACCAAGGTGAAACAACTCTTACGTTGTGTTTCACCCTGTGACTCAGCGACATAACTGAGGACTTCCTAATTGGGTAGTTTCCAGGGTTCAAACTTAAAAATGTAATTAGTCCGTTAGTTAGATAATGAAAAAATATTAGACACGTATTTTTTATTTTGTCGTATTAAGTTGCAATTCTTAGATAAAATGGCGCTAAGTTTAGGAGTGAGAGGTTGTACCAGACGGACATTAAAATAAAATTTAGGAAACTACCCTATTCTCCTTCCATCCCCAATCGCCAATCCTTAATAGCTTGGAAACTCACTTATAAGTCCTCTGGTATTCCATGAGTGGCTTACCATGTCACTAAAGACTATTTTGGAAAAATGACATCACATATTCGTTTGCATTTACTTTATAACGTCTAAAAGGAGTTAGTTATTGTCCCAAAATCGCAACATAGCCTAGACATAGGCTGCCTAGCATATGTCTATGAAGCAATGCAATACGTCCTCCCAATGTATCTATCAGTATATATTGCTAGGAACTTCATTAAATGATCAATACCTAGGAATTTCTTATTAATTTAAAGTACCTATTATTGTAATGTAATTTAAGTTTAACTTTGAATTACCTTCCACCGGTCATTGTCATAGTCCCACTTGGATGAGATACCGTCGATGGGATTCACGCGAAGTTCCAGCATCCGCCGCAGCTGTACCTTTTGTGAACTTTTCGACAGACTCGGCGGTAGGCACTCGTACACTGCCCAAGTAGACATAAAAGTACATAGCGATCAATCGGTAATGTCGGCCAGGATGTAACACAACCAAAATTTTTTCAGCACACGCTTTTGTTTTACTTCCGGACTACTCCTCCTTTTCCTGACCAATCTGCTTAAACATAACCTGACCCTACTTTTTTTAAGGGGGGAAAATCATGCCTTGATATTTAAGTCGTTAAGTCCTCCGCGGCTCCGTATCGGCATCAGCCCTATTGGGCCCTATCTGTGGTGCTGTTCTGATGGCTCCTTGAGGCGCGCGTGGAAAAATACATTTTGTCAATCAAGCAGTTTTTTTTTACATTTTATAGATCGACGTTTGACCACCATCTCGCCTGATAGTAAGCGATGATGTGCCCGACGATGGAGCACGCCTACCTATGAGCAACCTATTCACTCGGGACTTGAAGACACCCAAGTCATATTTGACGGGAAACACAGCCTCTGGCAAGGAATTCCATTCCTTAGCGGTTCGCATGAGGAAGCTTGACGCGAAACGCTTCGTGCGAATGGGTGGAATGTCCACCATATAAGGGTGGCGCCCCGCCGTTCGTCTGGTGGTACGGTGGTGAAATGGACTAGGGGGAATAAGTTAATCAAGTAAGTAATGAAATGATTAAGATACATACCGTAATAATGGAGGAATATAAACATCCAGAAGGCGAACGCTGAAATGAAGAAGCCCATCCCAAGGACAACCTTCCATTGCCCCGTGGGATGCTGGAACTCGGTAAAAGTTTGACAGAACGACGCTCTGTACAATGCTTTCTTTTCTTCACAGCATAACATTCGCCAGTCACCTTTCTCTTTCTCTCGTAATGCCTAGAAGCAGGAGAGCAGATTATTCAATCAGCCATACTAAATCTACAATATTATCTTAGATACAGGATTTTTTACAGATACAGAAATAGGGGGATTTTTAAAAAAAATATCAGTGGTAGCACGTAGTCTGGAAACGTGCCCAGTATATGGCAATAGGCTCACCCCCAATTACATGGGACTCATAACATAAATAGTGAAAAGTGGATGTTACTTCTGTGTGCACCTACCCCTTTGGGGATAAAAGACGTGATGTTATGTATGCAGAATTAGAAAACAGAAAAAAAACGACTGCTTCGTGGCGTAGTTGTACGGGCAAAGAATTGCTGGGTTTTTAAAAAAAATATCAGTATTAGTACGGAGTTTGGTATTGTGCCTGGTATATGGCAATAGGCTCGCCTAACTTACATTACATGGGACTCAAAATAAATAGTGAAAAGTGGATGTTACATTGTAAGTGTCGTAATGTGCACCGCTGCCTATCCTTTGGCATGCTTGATGCAGGCAGGCATGATGTTATGTTATGTTACATACAGGAATTTTGGTTGAAGTTTTGTTAGTTGGTACAAAATTGTAATTAAAAACGTAATTTACACACGAGGTACACGCTGCAGAGCTACCTAACCAATTAAAAGTGAGAAATTAGGCACTTTGTAAAGTGTTACATCAGCTCCGATTCTCCTAAAACTTGAAGAAGCTACGTTCCTTCCTAACTTCGACATTTAACACAGAGTCTTATCAAAAAAGGTAACAGTTTCATCATTATTGTCATCACAACAGCCATCTGACGTCGACTCATAGACCCCCAAATTACAAACGACTCACTGCGAATTTAATTAACATCAGTTCAACTTGTGGATTGAAGCAGTGCTCTGCAGTGCAGTAGCAGATAAATCAACTAAGAATAGCAAATGTTAAATACATTACACAAATATCTCTGGTGTTTTCTTTAAACCTCACGGCAGGAAAGGGAAAATGAGCATCGTCCTTGTAATTGGCGCCACCGTTTACCCCGAAGCCGACCCAGTCCCGGTTCCCGATCCTACATCTATGGTGAATGTTCCTAACTCTAAGCGCAAGTGACGAATAAACTCCGAAAGATTTCAGCGTAAGTAAATACATTTTCGTTCCCTGATCGGAACGATATTGACAAATGACAGTTGATTTTTCAAATTCAATCGGTTTTAATGGTAATTGTCAATTTGTGAGTGAAAAGAGGTTGCTAATAGCCTTGCAAACAAAAATTAAATCTTATTGAGAGAATATCTAGTCATCTCTCTCAACTTTCGATTGCTGTGGCAGGTTTGATTTCACGGCACGGAAGAATTTTGTTGTTATTGCACCAAAAGACTAGGTCTAAAGGAATCGAAATGAATACAAGCCTTTGTAGTGGTTACAATACAATATTTATTTTGATACAATTTTGAAATAATCACTTATGTATAATGATTATCTTCACAGGTGCATGTAACATTAACCAAATACATTTTTCTTTATCTATTTGCCATCTGTAGTCATTGCACAGAACAGCAATTATAAAACTGAAAGTCGAATAAAAACTAATACTTTACTTTAGCCTGTGTTCCCTAAAAGCAATTTATAAATGTCACCAGATCCGACTATAATATTGAACAGGTTTTCAGTAATATTACGATTTCCTTTACTGATATTTTTCTTCTTTTTCATTTCATTCGCTACTTTTTCTTCTACACTTTCATCATTCGAATTGCCTCCATCATTATCATCATCATCATCATCATCTTCGTCTAATTTAACTTTTTTGCTGTCTTTTTTAATATTTTTAGTAACTATATCCGTGGAGTCATTACTATCTTCTACATTATCATCACTTTTATTCTCTGTATCATCTTTATTTTTTGGTTGTAATTCTAACTCTTTCTTCTTATTAACAGGGCTATCTTCTTTATATTGTCGTATTTCCGAGTCACTGGCCAACTTCTTCTTTTTCTTAACGTCCGAATTATTATATTCTTCATCGGTATTATCACTAGAATACGTTGCTGTAGTTTTGGATTTCATTAGCTCTTGGATTTTATCCATCATTAAATTTTTATTTCTCTTGTTAATCGAGACATTTTCGTAATCTTCGTCAATATCTATTTTCGAATTCGTGCTGACAAATTGCTTTTTCTTATCTTTAGTTTTAGAGTCTTGATTTACAGCACCTTTACTGGCCATAAGATTTTTCTTTTTCTTAATGATATGTTCAATATTTTTCATATATAGCTGCGTTTTTAATTGATTAACAATTGAGTTTTCATCATCTACGTTTTCATTAGTTTGCTTTTGCTTTTCCTTAGCATGAATGGTTTCATCATCTATATTTTTATCCTGATGTTTTTGTTTCTTTAAAATGCCTTTTTTATGTACGTCTTTTTTGTTAAATTCGTCTTCCTTATTTTTAACTACTCTAGCTCTTAGATCTTCTAAATATTTGGCGATAACGTGATTATCTCTTCTTTTACCTTCATCCTCTTCGTATTTATTAGTGGATTCGTCCACTTTACCTTTACTAAGGATTTTGTGTATCTTTTTCTTCATAGTGAGGTCTCCCTCTTTTTCTTGTATTGCAATTGTCTTTTTCTTTTTCTTTCCTTTGACGTGTTTATCGATGTTCTTTATATCTTTATTGTCAACTTCATCTGGTATTTTCTTTTTATTATTACTATTTAAATATGTGTAGTCCAAAGAAATACCTTGCTCTGCATTGCTGTCATTTTCACTATCGTCTTCTCCATCATTTTCATAACTTGTATCGTAGTCGTTTGTCTCACTTTGATCTTTATTTTCTAAGTTACTATTATCCACTCTTTTTTTCGTAATGTCCACCAAATAAGGATTTTTGTCAACCAACTTGTTTTTTTTATGTTTATCGTTTGTTTTGATCAATTTTGCGATCTCACGTTCACTATCGTCAAGTAAACTTTCACCTGATCCCAGGATTTCATTTAGTTTTATGTTATCTACCAGACCCTCAATAACTTCTTCTACTTTTTGTTGGTCTTCAGAACTTTCTTGACTTTCATAATTATTATCATCATCATCATCATCACTGTAAACATCAAGATTTTCTTTATCGTTATCACTATCACCACCGTAACTGTCATCGGATCGAGTTTTAGATTTAGGTTGCATGTGAGATGATGTAATCATTTCCTCAGAGGCAAAAATATCATATTCCTTAACTAACTTCTTAGTGACTCTTGTTTTTTGAATTTTGTTCGGCGCAGAAGTAGTACGTACTATGGCAGGTCTTTGGCGTAATGGCCTTTTTACTGCCTTAGTCTTCGTAGTACTCAATTTACCTCGATCGTGATCTTTTATCTTTGCACTCTTGATAATTTTCCGTTCAGATTTACGTTTTGATTTCTTTTTCGTTATCTTTTTCTTCTTTTTGTTTTTCTTCTTTTTAACCTGTATGTCTAACCCTGTATCCTCCTCACTATCTGATTCTAGATCATAGCTTGATATATCAGTTAGTTCTTCGCTATCAAATATTGTTTCAATGAATTCTGTAAAATCCTCCCGTCCCGTTCTAATTGCATTTTTTGATCCTTTTGCAGCCACTTCTGGTGGTTGGTCTGAATCTTCATTTATTGGCGTTATATTAAGATTTGCAGTTATATGTACATAAGTAGCAGGTAAATGCAATGTTGTCAGTCTTTTAGGCGGTAAGCTTGTTGTATAGACTCTCCCAGAAGCTACGTCCTGTAACAAGAAATTACGGATTTTTTTTAAAAATTGAAACTTACCGTATTTGTATTTATACACTACACAGTTTTAAATTCTAGCATTTATTTAAGAGGACACAATGTCTGTTACAGTAATACATGCAATGTTTGATGTTCATACTAACTGTGCGTCTATTGCAGTGATAAGAAATAATAAGAAAACACATAATAAATAAAGACAAGCACCTGTTCTGTGACTTGCTCTATCCAGTCATTGTAGTAGCCCAGTTTAGTGAATACAGTGGGAGCGTCAGGAGCTCCGCAGCTCGGAGAACCGAAGCTTACAACACCTACTAGAATGCCGCTTGCAACGCCTGGACCTCCTGCGTCACGCTGGCGATACATAAGTTATTATTAATTATTTTATAACTCCAGTTAGGTGCAATGACGATATCTTAAAAGTAGCTGATAGTAGTAGATACCTAGTTTAAAAGCCAAAGGTTGTGTTCAGAGGTGAGTTTACGCGTCAAAGAAAATTCTCAGTTGAAGACGGTGTCTGAAAATGTGCCCGGTGAATATAGTAAGCTCATGTCCCTTTAAATGGAAGCGGAGTGTAAGACGCCTCGATCATTTGAATGATTACGATGTGTGGCTGTACCGGTAGTTTGTGAAGAAGTAAAAATCGAGTTCCGTGATGTGATTGACTGACTGACGATGATGATGGAATAAATATATTATATTAACAAAAAGCAACATACGTTACATGCCCCGCCGCCCTTGGAGAAGAATCCAGCGCAGAAGTTATGTCGCGTCACGAACTCCCTGTAATATGGTAGAGTTTAGAAGGCTATTGTGATAGAAGATGCTTCATACAATACACAATGTGGCGTATAACCTATAATTATTATATTAGATTTTTTTCATAGTTTTTTTTTTGGAGAGAAAGTCTATACATTCGGCAGAGACTCAGCAGCAACGGACTCTTATACAACTGAACCTTTTAATCTGTGATCTGATCTTGTCTAGCCAGCTTTATAGAGGAAAAGCGAAGCTCAGAAGTAAATTGTCAAGGGTCGTTGCAGTATCAAACATACCTGGAATATATTTCCTGACACTCTGCATATGGATAAAAGTCTAGAACAGCATACGTCAATCTATTCTTCCGAGCTTGTTCAATAATGTGGTTGTTGAGCTGAATAAACGTTTTTGATTAATAAATATACCTGATTTTTTAAGGGGGAAAATCATCGAATGACTTCTCCCGCCTGGGTGAGGCGGGAGGGAGTGTCAGACATATTCTGACTAAAAACCGCTCCGTTCCTACTTCGGCCCTTCGAGCCGGAGCCCTGATAACTCATAAAGTTCTCCGCGACAAATATACCTGATACTACAGCAAATAAGACATACAATTTCAATCGGAGCTAGTCGAATAAAATTTAAGATCAAACAATTAAGGAGTCTGCTGGTTATGTCAGCGTTTGGCCACTATTTCATCTGGTGGTAAGCGACGTTATGGCCGATGGTGGAGCACGCTTACCTACAGCAACCTCGAGACTTGAAGACACCCAGTTTGTGCCCTATGGTCGTCTAAGGAAACTAGCCACTTGTTCCAAAGTTTACCTAATATCCTTGATCCTTAATCCTATAGTTCTATTAGTACTACAACGTGTTTTTCTACAATGGAATTAAACTCAACTCTTCTAAGAGATTTGGCAATAAAATGATCAAAAAGTCTTACACCCTTTGCTCCCCATCCAACGATAGTGATGCCGTCAGTGTTCGAAGGCAGCGGCCACGGATTTGTATCTATCTCTATCCTTTTTATTTTCTTCTTTCGTTTCCCGAACGCCAGTGCTCTTACCATCCTCAACAATGCCAGATTATTACCCAAAGTCTTAGGTTCGTAATTCGGATGGAAATGTATCTCCAGCACGGGGATGTTCTCCCCGCCGTGTTCATTGAAAGTGCTGCCTACTTGTAAAGATAGGAAGGCTGGGTTCTCGTTGAAGAATCGGTTGTTCCAAGCTCTGATAAAATATACAAATAGTTTAAAAACTTATATGATGAAAATTGAATAACACGTATAAATTACAGTCTGGTACAACAAATTCATTTAGTGTTATGATACAGATAGCAGTTGTAATATAAACAAACAGTTCTTACAATTGCAGACATGAAGCCGAAGTGACAACTACATCAGATTTGATGATGGAGCCGGCACATTGGAACTTCTTGAAGAACTGCACACTGGCCATGAATGGGAACCGTTCAATCTTTGCTTCATGCCCTCCGAAGATGCGACGTCCACTTTGCAACTCGTTCAGCTGCAGCGGATCTGAAAATGGTAATTATTATTTAATGTTATAACGGCATCTGTAGCTATTTTATGATAAAGGGTTCTATAGAAATACTTGCCCCAAACTTCCAAACTTGTTGTATTGTCACGAGTTCTGTTTTCTTTTTGCGTGTATGTCGTATTGTCCACTTCATTGCAATTTTCATTCTTTTCGAAATACTTTATAATAGCTTTGTTAATGTCAAAGAATTTTGTGTTGTTTTTAAGACCATGAGTTTCTTTTAAGTGGTCTAGTTTTGTAAGAAAATCGTCAATAAGTGACGTAACATATACAGCATCTGTTTCTTCATCACTTTTATTGTCTTCATCTAATACTTCGTTTAATTGTGTAATAAAAACTCGAGTGCCGTTATCGAAGTTATCAACTTTGGTCAGTCTAGCTATTTCCTTCAGATTGTCGTGATCTTGCAGAGTTATTGAAACAAAGAAGTTGTGAATTGTTGTATATTGTTTCAACTTCAGCTTTTGGTGCATATCTTTGTTTTTTAGAGTGGAGAATAAATTGTGCAGAGTGTTTCGTATTGTCCACTCGGTAGCTGCGAAGTCGTCGTGGTCTGCGGTGGAAGATTCAACGGCACCCTGGACATGAACACCACTGTTCAATAATGTGACACACAAGAAGATGCTCGTCGCGGAAAACATATGAAGGAAGATGTTTTCTGCGACATGAAATATAATCTAAGAACAATATAAATTGTAAAAAACAACCGATGTATCAAATGTTTGTGTTATTAAAGTAGTTGCTCAATGTACTGAAGGTGTTTTTATGGTTTCTATTTTATTTTATGTATTGTGAAATATATAATTTTATCTACGTCGTAAAATATGTCGACACCACCTGAATTTAGTTGAATTAAAATTGGTTTGTTTATGATATCCCATCCATCCACCATCCACCCTCTGGTGATAGGGTTTTTCTGATTTTTATGGACTTTTATGTAACCTCCTGTTATTGGGGCTTTAGTTTTGGTTGTCCTTAAATATTTCGAAGGAAACTGGCGTGTCTGATACTACTTAAGTAGTCTCAGCTGATGATTATTCTGCCGGTTTATGTACAAGTCCATGTTTTCCGAAGTAAAATATTGTTTTATAATCATTGCCACAAGATTTGGGACAATTTATGTTTTCAGCCATTAAAATGACATCAGAAAGTCCATATAGCCAGTAACTATTATGATAAAAGGAACACAAATAGAAAAGAAAACAAACAAATGCTTAATTAAAACTTTTTATTGTATAAACCTAAGTCAATCCATACTTGTACTTATTTAAGTCATTTAAATCTTATATAATGAAATTGACGGTGATTATCATGTTCCTGATTCGCGTAGTGGTAGCTAAACATCATCATAGGATACTTCTTGAGTCTATCATCAGGTTCTTTTACATCTTCAAGGGATCTTCCATTGACCCTCGTACTTCTATCAACCAATGGTTGGACATGTTTGTTAAAAGATCTCTTCGGTCTGTATGTTCCAGAACATAAGTAATTCTTGTTAACAATGCATCATGGTGACGGACTAAAATGTTGTGCAGAAAAATGGAAACATTTGGGGTACCGTCTATTTATATGAAGCCGGACGTGATAACGAATCGATAACAATAAATTATAATGGAAATTGTGCAACGCAATTTCCAAAAATAGTTTTACAAAGAAATAAATGTTTCACAACCAGAGGAAATTGATGAACTTCATAAAACTGTTATGAAACAGTAGGTACCTATCATCTACCTACCTATAAGAAGTCTGTGTAGAATATTGAATCTAATTGCTTATATTTGTTATGATCGCTTTTTGTGTATCTGCTATTAATTACTTGCATTGACTAACTACAGATTAATTGCCTTTCTTACCCTTGGTTCTTTCGGCCATATATTATCTTTATGGTCGTAGGGACCTCCCTCCAACCTCCTCCAGGTTCCAAGCGACCTGCATCCAGCACCTGCTGCTCTTGCTTGCTTGCTTGGTCGGAACTGATCTAGAAGTCTTCTGGGAAGCCTTTATCATGTTTATCAGTAGTTGTGTTGTGGCTGATGATGATAATAGGATTTCAAATGAAATTCAAACACATACACACGGACAGTCTTATAAAGAGACAATAAAGACGAAAATACCTAATCATTAATTTATGACCAGGAGAAGAAACACTCAGACAAGCTCACAATCCATTTTGAAGTCAAGTCTCAAGTGAAACACCAAGAGGCTATTTTTAAGGGGGGAAAATCATCGAATGACTGCCGCCTCACCCAGGCGGGAGCCTGGGTGAGGTGGGAGGGAGTGTCAGACTCTTACTGACTAAAAACCACCCCGTTCCTTCTGCACGTCGAGCCGGAGCCCCAGTTACCCGTTAGGTTCTACGCGACAAACGACCAACCAGGAGGCCTAGACACTTCAAAAGCCGAGTACTGCTACTTGACTTTTTTGATTTGCCTTGGACGAGAAATTATATTTTGGTTTTTTAAATTCATCACATTTTCATTAAACAATGATGGATGGTGGTAAACCTTATGTTCTGTCCCTTGACTTGGTTAGTAACATGCCAAGACTAATTACTTTTTTTTTTTTTTGAAAAAATGTTGCCGCACACTAAGGTTATCTCCTGGGTCGTGGGGGCGTTTACAAACATACAAGTTCACATACGCATAACACCCAGACCCGAAACAACAATTTGTGGGTCACACAAAGTGTTGTTCCGTGCGGGAATCGAACCCGCGACACGTTGCACGGCAGCCGGTTGCCCAGCCACCGCACCAACCGTGCAGTCTTTATTTCTTTTTTATTGTATTATAATCTAGCTATAATATGAGGTCAGCAGGAAGAAAATACACATTTTTAGATGGTATAAAACATTTATTTAAAAAAAAAACATCACTACTATACGCAACAAAATCAGTTACAAATAAAATGTTATAGGTAAAAGTAATTAACTCTTGACTAAAGAAAATCATTTGCACTGCAATTGAAAATTATAGCGATAGAATAAAATTAGTTAGAAAACTTTTCTTTCCATCTTCTTTTGGTTTTTCACTGAGACCGAAACTTACTCGAATGTTTTCTGTAGTACTTTCTGTTACAGTCTCATCTTTATTTTGTTTAGAGTCTGAACTGTCTGTATCCAGCTCAAGAAAGAACGGTCTGGTTGCCAATGATCTACTGCTGTCCTGCTCAGATTGTGTCAGTTTTTCACTCGTACCTTGGTTTCTCATGATGATTCTCTTATTTCCAACATAATTCTGGTTTGCACCTTGATCTATGTCATAGTGTATACTAGTTCCTAGAATTTGTGGTGATTGTGTCGTTTCAATAACTTCCAAGCTAGTTTCTGTTTCATCCAAATAAACATTATTTGATTCCATCATATTAGAATCTGTTTCCAAGCTATTCGAAACTTTTTTATCCATTTCTATATCAGAATCGATTTTATCTGAATCTATGTTATCTGCATCTTTTAAATTGGAAGCCATTTCGTCTAAATCGATTCGGAGTAATCCTGCACGTCCAAAGTCAACTTTCAATGTTTCCCCTGTTTCGTGTTCCAGTTCAGATTCCGGTTCAGGTTCCAGTTCAGATTCTGGTTCTTCTTCCGGTTCAGGTTGGTCGGCTCCCATTGGATTTCCTTGGTTCCTAAGAATTAATTTTTTGGTAACTTTACTTGATGTGTTCGTTTTTATTTTTTTTGTAGTTTGAAGATTTTTTGGTCTCTTTGGTCGGATTATTCGAGTACTAGGAATTTCAATACTTAAACCATGATATTCGTCACCAGATTGTTCGTAGTTGTCTGTATAATCATTGGCATTAGCTTCATTTTCTGATTCATGGTCTGAAGTGTTCGGACTTTTAAGTATCATTTTAAAAGTGTCGGTAGGAATTATACTTTTCAGGAAGGAGTCAACCCCTTGTAATAACATGGATGTGACTGGAGTAGTCGCAATTGAAGTAGGAGTCGTAACTGTAGAAGTAGTTTTAACTGGAGTTGCAGTTCTAGCTATGAGGGGTTTTATTTTATCTTTGTGGATTTTATGTTTTGTAGTAATCGCTTTAATTTTCTCGGGTACGGTGACAGTTGTGATAACTTTGGTAAAATCTTCATAAGCGTCACCGTAGATTACTTCATCTACAGCTGTATTATCAGCCTTTACTAAGTCTCCCAATATATTCCTTAGCACGTTGCCCTCATCTGGGTAGTCTTCGGCATGTTTTCGTATTTCTTGCTTTTGCGCTGGTGTGATATTCAAGTGGATGAATCCAAAATTATTTGATTTTCTTCGCGTATCGTTATGATGTTCATTGCTTTTAGTACTTTTCTTATGCATACTCTGAAAAATAGACCAAAATAAACACATATGTATTTAAAAATATCTCGAAAGAAATGTTTAAAAATAAAATATCTTGATATAATTTACAAATAAATGTATTATGTTGCAGTGGTCGTTACAGAGTGGAATAAAACATGATAGAATAAGTAAAAAATGCAATTAATTAAAATTATTCAAAATAGAATTGTTCATTGACAAAAGCCATCCAATCTTTACCTTTGTTAGGTATATTTTCGTCCCCTTACCAGAATATTTTCAATCCAAGTGGTATAGTAGCCGAGCTTGGTGAAAACTGTTAGAGAATTATTTGCCCCACATTCTGAGTCCCCGAAACTGACTATTCCCACTAATACCGCGCCGACGATCCCTGGTCCTCCAAGGTCTCCCTGAAAGAAAAATTTAGCATAAAAAGAAAAGAAGTTAAATCTATAGGACACGCCTATGGTGTTGCTGTAGCGCTATTCGATGCCCAACGTGACCTGTTATTCACTTATTCCCAACAGTCTTACAGTACTACCACAAATTGTTCTTTTTAGTCTAGGTGCGTAGTGTGTACTTAGGTGGACACTTATGTATTACAAGTTTGCTATATTTGATGTTATAATTATTTGATATATGACAGATATATTTGAGATGTGTATTACAAATTTTCGATAACCATTGGGGTAAACGTGTTCTAGAGTGTAGATCGCGTCTAAGAAAACATAGTGTAGGGTGCCCTCCAGCTCGGTGGAGTGACGACATCTGTAAGGCTGGCAGTGATTGGATGAGAAGAGCTGACGACTGAGCTCAGTGGCGTGCCATTGGAGAGGCCTATGTCCAGCAGTGGACGAACACGGGCTGATGATGATGATGATGACATTTAATCCATAAAAACTAAACTCCTGTTATTTAATCATTTTGATGAAAATGGAAATGGTTATGTACTACTTTTGTAAAACTTTAAATATTAAATATTATTGAAGTGATAAAATGAAATGTTACTAACATGACATGCTCCTCGGCTTGAGTTGTTGACGCCAACACAGAAGTTATCTTTGGATATTAAATCTCTGAAATAGTAAAATTAATTGTAATTACAAAATAATATAATGGATATTAATAATTTGTAGCAAAGCCTTACACTGAATATTTTCGAGCGCAGTCGCCAATAGGTAGCAAGTCCAATAAATCCATAGTAAGCTCAGGACTTTTCGGTACCTCTTGACCCTTCTGAAAAATATACTCATATATTACTACCAAACCAACACTAAAACAAACTTTATTTATTTTAAAGAAATTAGACCTTAGTAGCACCCCATCCAAGAGTTAAAATTCCTTGAGTGATGTTTGTAATATTTCCTGGAGTTTTATCAAATAGTATGCGCCTGATTCTCTTCTGTTGCTTTGAGTACCGGTGCCGTTTTTCCAAGCTGATTATTGCTACATTATGAGACAGGGTTTCTGGGTTGTATGCAGGGTGCACATAGAGGTTTTGTACTGGTATAGTTTCACCATCATGGTTCGTGTAATCGCTGCTTAGTCTCACGTAGATTGCCTTGAGGTTATTTTTTAAGTAATCATTTTGGTAAACGCTGAAAACATGAAGTATTTTGTAGAAGTTTAGGTAAGAAAGTTCAACATTCTAAACTTAATACGTAACATAACATAACATCACGCCTTTTTATCCCCGAAGGGGTTGGCAGAGGTGCACATTTTGGCACCTAATGCCACTGTACAATGTAACACCCACTTTTCACTATTTATGTTATGAGTCCCATGTAATAGGGGGTGAGCCTATTGCCATATATACCGGGCACATTTTTCCAGACTCCGTGCTACTACTGAGATTTTTAAAAACCCAGTAATACTTTGCCCGACCCGGGAATCGAACCCGAGACCCCTTGCCCGGCAGTCGCACTTGCGACCACTCGGCCAATGAGGCAGTCTTAATACTTGTGCCTTATTATCCCGTGATAACAACTCACATCTGTAAACAAGACGCAGCAGTGATGACCAAGTCCCTGTGGATGATGGAGCCGGCGCAGGCAAACTCTCCCATGATGTGGATGCTAACCATGAAGGGAAACTTGTTCACTTGCGTTTTGATGCCTCCGAACAACCTCCTTGTGTTTGTCATTTTGAACACATCTAATTCAATATTTGTTGGTCCTTCTACGGAAGAATAAGAAAATTGGGATGTTAAAAAAAAGAAATAATGAGAAGTCTAATCATTCCAGAAACGAGAATACATTTGACTTTGCTGATTACACAACGATATATTTGACAGAGACAGGGCAACAACATCATCATCAACAGCCTATAAATGCCCATTGCTGAGCAAAGCCTCTTCTCACACTGAGAAGGTTAGAGCATTAATCACCACGCTTGCTCAATTCGGGTTGGCGATTTCAAACTTATAATTAGAAATTATCAGCCGAGGTTTCCTCACGATGTTTTTCCTTCACCGTTTGTCAGTAGTGTCTAAATAATCTTAGAAAGTACATATAACTCGGAAAAAGTTACATTGGTACTTGCCGTTGGTAGGTTTCGAACCCACACCCTCATGCATGACAGTTAGGGCAACAACGCTCTCTGACAAACCTAAACCTTTCAAACTCGGAGCAGTCCTTCCTTAGTCCTCCACTTAAAGGGTGATCGGGGCTCCGGCTCGAAGTGCAGAAGTAGGAACGGGGTATTTATTTATTAAAACTTTATTGCACATACAGTGAAATTGGCGGACTTAATGCCGTAGGCATTTTCTGACAGTCAACCATTAGGTAGTGCAGAATGTTAAAGCGGTAGGTGCAAAATTGTAAAAAGAAAGTATGAAGTAGATAACGAAGTTAAGGTAATAAAATATTAAAGAGGGAAGACATGATTGTTATAGTCGATAATACATAACTAAGGGTATAGGGTCTTAAAATGAATTATATAATAAATATATATCCCAAATATGCATACATATAATATGATATAATTACTATATAATACATACATATATAAATAAATGCAATACATAGACTACATATTACCACTGTTTTGAGTTTGCCACTTTCTATAAATGTGTTCCCGAACCTTGAATTTAAATGAACAGCGATTATTTGCCATTCTGATTTCCTTGGGCAGCGCGTTCCACAGAGAGACAGATTGAACGAAAAAGGAGGAGTGAAGATAGTCAGTGCGGTGAGTGGGACATTGAAGTTGACGGTTATTAGATGAGCGAAGGTATTTAGAATGGTTTGCGCATGTATATTGGAAGTAGGAAGCTAGATAAACAGGTGAAGAAGGAGAGTCGAGAAAAGAAAATAAAGTAGTTAACGCCCTTTGTTGCCTGCGCAGGCGTATGGGCAGCCATTTTAATTGCAACCGATGTGCAGAAACATGGTCATATTTACGTAAATTGAAAACGAATCGAATGCAGTTATTTAGAAGACGGTCAATTTTGTTGTACTTAACATCCTATTATCGATTATGCTGATGTGTGTACATCAGCATAATCGATGATAGGAAAAACCAGGGCCTGCACAAGCCGTGCCTTGGTTACTACCACCGGTTGGTTCCGTCTACTGACGGAAGGAAGTTTCTAAGGTAGTTTATATTCAGTAAGAGTCTGACACTCCCTCTCGCCTCACCCGGGCGGGAGAAATCATTGGGTGATTTTCTCTCAAAAAACAAAAAATTCCCAGTAACTTACCCCAAACTTTCAAATTTTTTTTCGGTGGCACTGTAACCGGAGCAGGTTCCGAAGGCTTTTTAAATTTGTGCAAAGTAAGATTATTGATCTTTGTCAAAAATCTGGCAACAAACTCTGTGAATTCAGTACTATCTGCATAATCTGGATTATTGGTAAGATTCATAGCTTGTTCTCCATCTTTTAATTTATTCTTATGTTTATTATTGATTTCCCTGAATGCACCGTATGCGTCATAATTGTTTTCGTTTAATACTTCTTCGACTGTAGGGTCTAATTGTACTACTTTTATTGTCTTGTTCTTGCTTTCTACTTTTACAAGATTCATTATATCATTGAGGATGTCAAGGTTTTTGTCTACTATGTTACTCAAATCATAATGCATTGTTAGAAGTAATTGAGTATTGAATGCTTTCGAAAAATTATTAGTAATGCCGATGGATTCAAATAAATTGTCCATAATTGTGTGTATTGTTAGGTACACGTTATCGAAAAAGTTTTCTTCGGCGTCTACATCATCTTTCATTTTATGATGATGTTTAGCAATCGCCATTGTTATTAAAAACAGGATAGCTTTGCCAACCATCATTTTTTAAAAGTAAATTTATAATTTATTTATATAAAAGTATAAAATTGTAATGGTTGATCACTAACAGATGTTGTAACTCCTGTTGAAAGTCGTGGTTACGAAATTCGATTACCGAAATTAAAAATTTGTAACTGTAATTCACAAATTCACTATAACTACGAAATATGAATAAAAACTGTAGAATAACTACCTACTGCATAAAATATCAATAAATTTTTATCAACTTTGGAAATAAATAAACTTCTTCATTGATTTTATTTTATTATTACCTAACTATAAAAATAACGTGTGTAATACATATCTACATATGTCATGGAATATGTCTTAATATTATGTGTATTTAAATCCTTTTTTAATATTTATCAACAATTCAACATGCTATCAGAATCAACATAATTAATAAATAATGTAATTAAACTGTCAAACACCAAGCGGTCACCGGTGACCGCGACCTATTGTTCTTTAATTGTGTCTATAAAACCGGTACTCGACGAGTTAATAAATATATGTAATATGACTAGATTTAATAATAACTAGAGGAATCTTATGACAGAGATCATTTACGGACCTTATAGAGGATAGTGTCCACAAAAGACAATACGGTAGTTGACAAATAGACAAATTATATACTTTCGTCAAAATTCTAAAAATGATAATTTTCTACGAGTTTCATTTTTATAATTTTTTATAGAATAAGCCGGTAAACGAGCCGACGGATCACCTGATGGTAAGCAATCAGCGTCACCCATGGTCCATGGACACCTGGAATACAAATGCGGTGCCGGCCTTTTGGGGATAAAGAATTTGAGGATAATGGGGATTCGAGGATTGGGGAGATTAGGGAGGAGGGTAATTGGGCTTCCGGTAACCACAGTCACACGACAAAGTTTGTTGTTGTTTCACGTCGGTTTTTTGTGAGGTCGTGGTATCACTCCGGTCGAACCGGCCGAGAAGAAGCTCTCCTCCTCAGAAGAAGCTCTGGCAAAGCATGGCTCTCCCACACTTAGATTGAACTTTTCGAAAATCATATCAATGAACGAACGTACCGAGGAATATTTTTGACTGAGTTATGTACCACATTATCCATATCATCGAAGCATTTACAATAAAGAAACGGAAGAAAGTTAAAATAATATTGGAATTATTGGTTTAATTAGCAATGTCTGACAAATTACAAATTGTCGAAACTAATTATAAGATAAGTGAGTAACTACACAGCCAAGATCAGCTTAAGATTAAAATTATTATCTCCAAACGAAACACATTACATTTTTAAGCGTATTTCGGTAAATCAGGTTCCACTAAATAATTATCATTAATGTAATCTGCTTCCCCACGGAAATGTGGTCGAGGAGACTGGCTGTTGTGTTTGTCACGCAAGTTATTATCTAGATATGAGTCTGGACCCCGATCCTTGCGGGATGATCGTCGCTCGTAAGAACTTGGTTCTGTAGTCCGCTCATAAGAGTTTAAGAAGAAGTCAGTGAAGGGACCCATTGTATCACTCGCTGTCCGTTCCGTGACCGTTTCAGTGGGTTCATGCTGCGGCTCCGTCAAGTGCGGCGGCAATGTGTTTGAACTCGACAAGGTAATCGTGACGTACTCCGATGTCTCTTTCGGGATATGAAGCCCGGGTAGAGGAAAGAAACTCTTGTTCACTAACGGATGTTGCATGGGATGCAGTCTCGTGGTCGTAGTAAACATATCAACAACGTCTTCTTCTGGCAAATCGTCGTACATAACGTCTGGCAAGGAATCTATGTCAGTCAGTATCGGTTTGTGTTGACCATGCTTGAGGACTTTCTTTGCTTTAAAGTTTTTTTCCTGTGCGTTTGTTTGCGTTATTGGAATTATCTTTGGGTCGGGTGTAATGAAGAACGTCGGCCACGTTACACGAGTGAGAGGCCGAAGTGTAGTTCGTGCTCCTATTGCTTTTATACCAGACCTCTGTAAAAAATAGGGAAATAAAACTAATTTATATTTGATTTAAATATTTTTATTACATTTACTCAAAAAATTGAATTATTGTCGTACACTTTCGTCTCAATCGCGGTCTCTAGACCATTCGCGTCTCCGTTTCTTGCTATAGGCAATACTTGGCCTAATGTACTGTGTAATGAGAAGAATGGGTTTATCCGCACGGTCGTAGAGGAGGTGTAAGGGAATAGTTGATGAGTCGGAGGTTTGCCTGTCGTTCGCGCTCCTACCACAAGGCCGTACTGGAAAAGAGTGGAAATAGTTCAAGCCTTATTGCTTTTCAATACAATAAAATCTTAATAGTTGTACACAATGAGGGATCACAACAAATGAGATTAAGATTTCTTTATTGTTCGAACTAAACGTCAGTTTCAGCAGAGAGGGCACAATTACAATAGGCAGGCTCAACTACGTTTATGGTCACACGAACGGGAATATCAAATTAAACGCAAGTGAACAATTCAAACTGAACCTGAACACATTTTTCTTTTGAAATAGATTGAGACTGGGATTTTCGTGCGTTTTGAAACATACATTCAAGTTTACATACACTTCGTACACAGAATCTGTCGATCAGTCAAAGAGTTGTTTCATGCGAGAATCGATCTCGCGACGTTGTATATCAGACGTTGGCCCAATTACTGCGTCAACCAAGCAGTGTGGCAAGTACAAATACACCGTGAAATTTATTTCATTTTCGTCCCGCTACAAAACAACTTGCCATAAAGAGTACTTTCAATATATGTATGAAGTAAAAACAAAAAATAAAGTTGATTTTTTTTATGTTTAAAAAAATATTCATTGACTTTCGAATATGAGACACTAAATATAAATTTGTAGGCACTATTCGCTTCGCACGTGCCACCCACCGAGAAATACTTCTTCGAAAATTAAATACTGTGATGTTTTGATAATGTAGGTACAGTAAAACAGGCTGAATAGAATTCGAGGGGTGAATAGATACAGACGAGAGGTGAATAAATGTTAGGATAATAAAAATAGTCTCACACTTATCCACCCCATTCCTATATCTATTCAACCCTCAAATTCTGTTCACCCCGTTTTACGGTACTATAAGTTCGTATACAGTTTCAAAGTTTACTTTTTGCAATGGTTCACCAGTTATTTTTTTTTACTTTTTCTTCTTTCTAAAACTATTGTATTACCAAGACAGAACTATTTTACTTCGGGTCGATACTGAAATTAATTACACGGTGTATTTTCTATCAGAAGTACGTCTTAAGCTGTCAAACACCGCGAGGATACCGGTGATCGCAACCTATTGTTCTTTAATTGTGTCTATAATGACGGTACTCAAAGGGTTAAGCATCCTTAAGAAACGTGTTTATAAAAGAAAATTGGAAAAATCACCGTCTTAATAACGCTGTCGATCCATTTTCCGTAGAACCCAAGTTTTGTGAAGACGGTAGGAGAGTCTACGGCTCCGCATATAGGTGCACCGAAGCTTATGACACCGATGAGTGTACCCCCCACAACTCCGGGACCACCAACGTCTTTCTGGAACATAGAGATAAAATATTATATAGACTGCAATGTTTTAAGACTACAGAGTCAATACTATGTCGATATTTGTCTTTAGTCTTCAAGGGACCATCAGTATCCGTCTAAACTTTTGTGTCCAAATTGTGATTCATAAACTGCCTATGGAAAACCCCCTCTAGAAACGAGAACCCTTTATTTGGCAGCGTAAGAATCATAGCTATGGCAATATCTTTGCAAAAATTCATTAGTCCCACTATCACTTGGTAAATAGATCCTTAATATTATAAATGGGAAATTGAGTTTGTTTGTTTGTTTCACTTTCACGCCGTAACTACTAAACCGATTGCTTTGAATTTTTGCAGATGTGAAGTTAGAAGTCCGGATTAAATAATGTGGTACTTTTTATCCCGGAAAAATTTGATATTCTAGAGGGAAAACGAAATTATTAGTATAGAGCGAAGCCGCGGATAAAAGCTAGTAAGTATATAAAAGTTAAAAATACAAACATTGCAAGCGCCTCCGCCTGCCGATATGAAACCAGCGCAAAAGTGCTTGTCCGTCACGAATGTGCTGAAATGTATGGGAAAATATTTAGTCTTTACGTAACAATATGAGAAATGTGTGGATTAAGTCTACTCATTGAATTCAATAGGCTCTCTTGAAATGAATATAATTGTCATAAAATGTAATTGTCTGTTGACTGCATCGTTGGCCGAGGGTTCGATTTACGGATCGGGCAAAGTATTACTGGGTTTTTAAAACAAATCTCAGTAGTAGCACGGAGTTAGGAATTGTGCCCGGTTATATGGCAATAGGCTTAACCCCTATTACATGGGACTCATAAAATAAATAGTGAAAAGTGGGTGTTACATTGTACAGTGGCATAATGTGCACCTCTGCCTACCCCTTCGGGGATAAAAGGCGTGTTGTTATGTGTAATTGTCCCTCAGTGAAACTCAGTGAGAGGGGAGATGAAATGAATCATATTACAAAAAAAAAAATATCTTACGGGGAGTAAATCTCAGCGCATTCGTTCACTTGGTAGATATCCAGCTTCGCCACCAACATCCTTTCAAATTGATCAATCACGTTGCTTTTCTGAAATTAATAGTAGTATCTATAGTTCATTCTTTCGAGCATACATCGACCAGATTGCCGATATATTAAAGTAGCGCTAAATTAAAAGTACTCTTAACCGACTAGCATGGTGAAAATACTGATGACTGTTGAGGAAGCGAAAGAGGTATATGAAAATCGTAGATCGAGGGAGACAGGCATGAGGTTATGTATGTAGGTATGTATAGTTCGTTAGAGTTCAGACAGTACCTATCTAAGAAGATTACCTTCCTAGCACCCCATCCAATGACGATAATATCCTCCGTGTTCGTAGCTAAATTTGCTGGCGTCCTGTCGAACCGTATCCTCTTCACTTTCTTCTCTCTTCTCAAGAATTTTATATGTTTATACAACCGTAGTAGTACTAAATTGTTAGCCAAAGTCTTAGGGTCATAAGAAGGGTGAAAGTAAGTCTCCACAATGCCTATGACCTCGCCTCCTCTAGCGAAGTAATCACTGCCGACGCGAACGGAAAGAGAACTTGGGTTCTCTCTGTAAAATCTGTTATTGTGAAGTCTGAAAGGCAAAAAGTTATTATTTACTTATAGCATTCGATCCTGATTCACTGCTAATAGTACTACAGAACAGATTATTTGGAAACTCTACAGCTTATTAATGTAGTTACATGAGTTGGGAATACACATCACACTATCAATGCACAGCCTTATGCAGTTTCATGAACTAATACTAGTTTGGAAAAGAGAGGTCGATACACGCTGCACAGTGATAACGAGATGATGACAATTATCACTTAAGCCAATTACAGAGTTTCACGACATTTGGTAGACTAGTTTAACCAGAAAGTAATGTAGGAAAAGAATAAAAGGTAAAACAGCATAATACTGCATTATCATTATTTAACTTTTTTTTAATTTGATGGGTCGACGTTTGACCACTATCTCGCCTGGTGGTAAGTGATGATGTGATCGACTATGGAGCACGTTGTCCCATAAGTAACCTATATTCAACCGGGTCTTGAAGACACCCAGGAAACACAGAGTATGGAAACAATTGCAGGGTAGCATCCTGCGTAATCACTTACAATTGTAAGCAGGACGCCGCACTAATGACCAGGTCCTTGGTGAGGATGGAGCCTGCGCAAGCAAACGTGCCCATCAGGTGGATGCTCACCATGAACGGGTAACTCCTTATTTTACTCCGTTTGCCTTTAAATATCCTCCGGCTAGTATCGTTGACGAAATCTAATTCTAGGACTGGTGGTGGCTCTGAAAATGGACACCAGTGCATAAATTTCTCCATATAAAAATATATAGGATTATTTTATTTGTATACGCATGAAAATGCTAGGAATTGGTATAGGGCAAGTCCTTAACGTTCCATGATGCCAAAGTTTTGTTAAAAGTAGTTGACTCGACAGAATGTTACACGCGAAAAGAATGTCATAAAAATAAAAGGATGAAATGAAGTGAACTCGTATTCCAAATTCTGGACTGGTTAGGAGAAAAAGGTAATTTTTCTTTTCAGGGACAGGTAGGTATTGATGAGCGACGCAAATTGTAATTCATTAACTATATTTAAGATTAATAAAAAATATTTTCTACTAACCCCAATACTCAAGATTGTCGTCATCATCTGCTTCTGGTGGTACTGCAACTGGTGGAGGTTTAGAGAAATCACTTTCACTGAGCTGATCTATTTTCTTTATAAAATCTTGAATGAATTCCATGAATTCTTTGCTGTCACTGAATACAGGCTGAGGTGTAGTGGTAGTTTCCAAAATTGTCTCTGTAGTGGTGGTCACAGCACGTGGAACATGTGATACCTTTTTGTGTTTAGTACGTTTGCGTGGTACATACTTCCCATACAAAGTACTAGACAGATTGTAGGGCTTGTTATCCAATATATCTCCAATAATGTTAAATAATGCTATGCCAGTTGTGGTGTTATTGTCTATACTAACTTCCACAGCGTCTAGCATTTTATCATGGACTTCGAAATTTTTCGCTGCAATACTTTTCAGATCATAATGCATTGTTAACAACAACTTGATCCTCGATTTCGATGGGAAGTCCGGCGCTAAGTTCAGTGAGTCGAAGAGATTGTTCATTATATTTTGAACATCGTCGTCTACTTTAAAATACAGGTTTTCATTGGATTTCAATATGGTCTCAAGAAGTGTCCTATGATTATGTCTAGCTACCACCACAGGAATAAGGAACATGATAATAGCCGTCAATTTCATTGTATACAAATTTAAAATAACTTAAATAATTACTAATACGGATTGACTTAGGTGCGTACAAAGAAAAGATCGAATTAAAATAAATAACTGTTCAGGTGATCGATAAAAGTTTATAAATTGAAAATTTCGTAACAGCCGATGGCAATTTCTTTTTGTTGGATTTCACAATAAAACAATAGTCATAAAACATATTCAATTTATTGGGCAACAACTTTAATAAGAAATATATTTTGATACGACTTCAAAATTTTCCATTATAATTATAAATATTTTGAACTTCATTTGTTTAATACAAGAGGCATCTTTCTTCACATGTCTTGCACCAAGAATAATATCTTGTATTTCATTATTTTAAGCATCCTCGTGCAAGTTCGGAGCCTCGTAGAGGTCCCTAGCGAGGAAGTCGTCGAAATAGTCGCAGTCGAGTCATCAATACGAAAAGTCACAAACGGGATATTCTCAGCTCTCAGACTCGAAGACGTCAAACATAAAACGAGGATCAAGGAGTTCTCAACAATTCACAACTTCTTTGTCACGATCACCTTACAAGATCAAACCAATCTGAAAGAAATAGCAGGTCTTGTAAAAGTTGATAACGTCGATAACAAAACTCAACATTTTATTACACAAGTAAATGAGGTATTAAATGAAGATAATAAAAGCAACGAAACAGAAGATGATGTTTATGTTACAACACACATAGAAACGTTTATAAAGAAACTTGAATATTTGAAAGATAAATATGGCTTCGCTAACAATTATCCTAGTTTTAATGTAAATGCACAAATTTTGCAACACTTGAAAGAGGAGGTTTCTAAGAATAGAACACAAGAAGAAGATGATTCGGATAATAATCTTTTGAGCGATTTAGAATATTGGCGTAAGTAAATATGTAATTTGAAAGGGCTTGTTTGTATTTTAAACAAAGACTTACTTGGATACTTTATAGTTTTAAATGTTTAACAATTTTGACCTTACAGAGCCCAGTGGTCGTCGCATCTACCAAGGTCACCGGGAGAAGATCACTCGGTTTCCCTTTGTAGCAAGCGTGCTATTCTTCAACAAGTTTCAGTGTGGAGGTTCTATTATCAAATCCGACTTGGTCATCACTTCAGCGTCATGTCTGCAACTGTATGTCTTATTTTTTATGTGCATAGGTTTATTTTATTTATTTTTATTTATACATTAATTTGATTGGTGCACAACAGAGCCTGGAACAACCGCTTCTTCAGAGAAAATCCAGCCTTTCTCTCCGTACAAGTTGGATGCGAATTATACGAGGGTGGAGATGAGAACATCCCCATCCAGGAGGTGTACTTTCATCCTGATTACGACCCCAAGAACTTAAGGAACAACCTTGCGATAATGCGCTTACTGCGCGTCTTGCGTTTTGGCAAACGCGTCAAGAAGATCAAGAAGATTAACTTTGATAGAGAAGCTTCGCCATTGGCATCGAACACTGATGGGATTACTATAATTGGCTGGGGGGCTAAAACCGTAAGTTGAAGACTGATAGCAAAACACGTGTTCAATTTAAAAGAATTCACTTATTACTCTTATTTACTTATTTTTCAGACTAGCAATATAATCAACAGCGTTTGGTCTAATCGACTGTCTTATGCGGTCCTTGACTTCTACCCGCTAAAGGAATGTCAAGATGTATATTCCAAGTGAGTTATGTACTTTACTAGTTAGCGACCCGCCCGGCTTCGCACGGGTGCAATATGCATGTATTATACATATAAACATTCCTTAAGAATCGAATTTATAAAAATCGCATCATAATCCGTTGCGTAGTTTTAAAGATATAACCATACATACGGACAGACAGACGGCGGATAGCGACTTTGTTTTATACTATGTAGTGATAGGTACCTACTGTTTATCACTTGGTACCAAATTATCCTTAAATTATCCTCTTTCTTCCCTCTTTAGAAAGGTTAGCGTAAAATGGACTGTTAGTCAGAGGTGTGCAGATTCTACTAAGGGTAGGGCATTAAATGCCTACTGGGTGAGAAAATGGAATAACAATTAGTGTTAATAGTTGCTTGGTCCAGGCTGGTGATCATTACGTCATTTTACTAGTTAAGTACTTTACTAACTTAAATGCATTATTTCGTTTGTAGGGAGTTCGTGACGTACAAGAACTTTTGCGCGGGATTCTTCTCAAAAGGAGGTGGAGCCTGTAACGTAAGTGGACTTAAAGAAAATTCTGCATCCTTAATCTTACTTTAGATCATGGTCATTAGGCTTTTGTACCAGATTAAATAGACTGTCTCTTAAGAATGACCTTTTTACCTCATGAATTTTTATTTTCACTCAGCGAGACGTCGGTGGTCCTGGAGTAGCATATGGGACTCTAGTGGGTGTGGTGAGCTTTGGGTCCCCAAACTGTGGCGCCCCGGACTCCCCCACTGTGTTCACTAAGCTCGGCTACTATAAAACGTGGATTGAAGAAATCATGGAAATGGTACGTCTTTATTTCGTTTTGCTACTAATTCTTCACCTAATATTAGAGTAAATTAACTTATAATTATCTAAGAAGTCCTAAAATCTCTATTTCAATAAATAAGAAACATATAAGATGTCGAAATAAACGAACAATATTAAAAATACCGATTATTACTTTTTTTTTTATTATATTACATTTCTTTTCTCCACGGACTCTTGTCCGTGCCCTTGTCATTTAATTACATATACCGATTATTTCAGAAACCACGAACCAGTATTTTGAAAACCACACTTAGATCGACGAGACACAGTTACAGAGTGGATCATTACATGACAACACCGGCTAGTTACTCACTCGAACCAGTCACCATGACCAAGTTGAAAAGTGAACCTTATAGCATTACGCCTATGCCTATTAAAAGTATAGATGCGCTTAGAGCATTAGATGATAATAACCTCTTTAAGGAATTCATCACCACTATGTTTGGTAGCGAGGAAGTGAAGGAGTATCTGGATCAATACGAATATGAGACGGATACAGACGATGAAGAAAAATTAGATATGGAAGCCCAAAAGGTCTTAGATATGATCAGAATCAACACCGGAACAAGTACTGTGCGAACTACACCTAAGATAAGTATTACTGGTCACCAGCAAGCTACCACTGAAGACGATGAGGACTATAAATTGGGCTCAATTCGAATGGTTACTGCGATCGAAAACTTTGAGAAGCCGGACAGCAGTGGCAGTGACGACAGTAATGAATCACAAACGCCACTGCCACCGAAATCGTTTATTGACTATACAACTTCATCGAAGACACAGACACCGGACAGCGCAGAAAAAGTGGAGGAAAAAATTGCCAAGCTTATTGATGAAATTGATATACAAGAACTGTTGAAATCTGAATCTGGTGACACTTCAGCAGATCTTGTTATGAAAAATAAAACAGTAGCCTCATCACACGTCCAGATGAATAAAGGAGTCGGTAAAGTTCCTGCGGATGACATCTCTGGTGATGGTGATGATGACGATGACGATGATGTTGATAATGAAGACGATGATGACGATAAAGCTGGATCAGAAGGTCTATATCTGGATATGCTTGATTTAACACACAAAGTGACTGAGAAAAGTCAGAAACAACCACAAAAACAACCACAACAACAATCACAAAAACAACCACAAAAACAAATACAAAAACAACCACAAAACCTGCATCAACAAAAACGGTATAAGCAGAAACCGTATCAGCAACAACCACAACATCCGCAAAAACAACATTGTCAAAATCAAAATAAAAATCAACAGAAACACCATAAACAACAAGTACATCAGCCAAAAAGCCGTCAGCTGAAAATACATCAGCAACAACAACAAAAATCATCAGAGCAAGGACTAAGCATCCCAAGTCCTACATTTAGAGATTTTACTTTTAGACAAAACGAATCTTATAGTTCTGGCAGTATACTGGATATATTCTCTCAAACTGATTTAATGGAACTACTGACTGAAGTTGTAGCTGATGCGACCAAAAGCAACCCTTCTGTTTCTGATAATGTTTCAGGTGTTTGGTAGGATCCTGCTCTTGTTGATATCATTCATTAAATGGTAAAAGTATAAGATCGATATTTATTACTTAAGAAATAAGACCAGATAAATTTAGGTTATTTTACGGGATTATAGATAAAACCTGACATATATATTAAAGTGTACAAAAGGGGCATTGTTTATCCTACTCCTTCCCTCTTACCACTCAATTACGCATTTTACCCCTTATGGGGTAGGTAAAGGTACACGTAATGGCACAGATAGGTGATATAGGTATACTTATCTAGATACGAAATAACTAAAATACGAATCCCATGTCCGTTGCCAAATACGGGGCACAATTCTAGATTTCGTGATGTTACTGAAACAACCAGGTGACACGTTTGTTTTGTCTAGATTTCTAGAATAGGTACACAACTGAACACATTGTTAGGATAAATTATCAAGCTAAGAAACGAAATAATGATTTATATAACAGCACATTCACACGGAAACATCGTTAATCATTATTTTCAGGGTGGCGCTAGTGTTGCACATTTTTTTTCATAAAATTATTTATAACCTTACTTGTAATATATTAAAAAAAGTTAAACGATTTCCTATGTACGTAGCTGGACAAGAAACGCTAAATTAAAGCGTAGCAGATTTAAAAGAAAACTTAAAAGTTTGCGTAGATCGGAACGTAGAAATCAATAGACAATGATTCGTATCGAAATCCACCAGATGTCGCCCGCTCTCTAAATTTTCAGTCTTGGGTGGTGATAAGATTATTTTGCCAGAGAAACCACATTTTGAGGTAAAAATAATTAGTTTTACTGAAATATTTTGTGTTACGTGATCTGTTACTTATTGTTTTTGTAGCTAACTAGTGTTAATTGCTTTTATACAAGGTAAGTGGCTAAAAATGACATAGCGTATTAAGTATTCAGTAATTCAGTTGTCAAAATACGTAAGTAAATTCCAAATTCGAATTTAATACATTTTTTATTGCTACAATTTTTGTTCCGTCTTTCGATTGATTAAATAATTTTCAATAGTTAATTTGTTAAATAAGACATTTTATCAGATCTTAATACCGTCTACAGCTATCAAGTTCATGTTATGTAACTTTTCCCTATTGATCACTGCGGACATAACCTCTTTGGTGAAATATTTTCATTCTGATTTCCTGTCCAATATATTCTTCAAGGTAACTTGCAGACCTGGTTGTATTTTTCAGTATCTTTTGAATTAAAACATTTATTTGTTTAGACTTGTCTTCACTTTGTTGTTTGCTTGTGCTAAAGGCAGTTTTTCTGTCAGTTTATCTGTCTTATCTTTTGATTTAATTTTCAGTATATTGTGTAGGTATCTTGTACATGTTGATTAACAAGCCAGTTTATGAGTGCACTTACTATGTATTTACCTGACTGCATAAGATATCAAATGTCTAAATTATTGTTATTTTTTAACATAGAAGTATAATTTTGATCTAAGTCTGTTCCATAAACAAGGGATTTTTTCCCATTTGATAGAAAAATATTAAAATCTAATAAATATTTATGATATTACTCTAATAAACATGGCTGTCCTAAATTATTTGATTCCAATACTTAATCAGCTACTTATACAAGCCTATTTTATCAATTAGATAAAGGTTTTGAAATTCATATTGCTGTATAGTCTGTATTCTGACTAGCACAGACAATCATAGTTTACATGTTGAAGAATAATGTTTATAAATGGAACAATGTTCATGAAAACAACTCACATTTATTCAGCCAGTATTATGTTTCACTTCTTTTGTTTTCATTTTAGAATATTGAGTAATGATAGAAGCATAGAATTTCTTTTTAAAGGAGTACTATATTTATTCTGTAGTTATAATATGGCCACTTCTAATAACTTTTTTTCTTGAATGACAACCAAGTCGCCAATGCAGTGTTGTCGACAAACTATACTGCCAGTATCAATACCATCAATGAAATCATTTTCACAGAGTCTAACTCCTAGATATCGAATGACATAAGCTACTTAAAAAATGTATCAAATTCATTTTAATAGAGGTTTATTTATATTGATTGATTGGTACTTAAAACTGATCACTTGTGTATGATACATTAATTTTTGTCATGACTTGACTAGTTATGTTGAAGAACTTCAACTAAATAACTGAATGCAATTTTTGTTTCTTACTATCATTCATTTTTTTGGTAAAGAGCCTTTCTGCTCCATCTACATCTGACATAGTATCATATATCAATATTGTAATTTGAATACACTATGTAGTCATAACATCCAACCATTAAACGCTAAAACATGCACTTTATGTGTGTATTGTCAATAACTAACACTTGTTAATGTTGCATTTAGTCTACAAATTATGTGTGGTTTTTAATGGTATAGTTTTCCTTGAGGTTATTAGATAAGAGTTTCTATTTTCATTTATAGAAATTGGTAGTGTAGAGTTATGTGCTCTCAATATTGATTGAGTCAATGAAAGTCTGAGCACTGCTATAAAAATATATATTGTTCTACACACATGATCAGATCGTGCAGATATACAGTTAGTTTACTAAATTATTGTACCCGACATGCGGTTATAATTATTAGGGAGAAATCATGCAATTAAATTATGCATGCAGTTAAATTATGTAATATATCTTTCTTTTATTATCATGCAATAAAGTTAATTATAATGTGAAATTTCTATATTCATAATTAATTTCATTTCATGTATAAATATATTATCTATGTTGATGTTAAGTCATAATATTAATGTCAAGAATTTATAAGTAAAATGCATACTATTGTGTCCCTACAGATAGAACTAGGAAAAGCGTGTGTTTAATTCTGAAATTATGTAACTGATAGGTTGAAGTTATTAAATAACTAGAATTTGATATTGTTATGTCATATAAATATGACAATATATTTTAAAATTCGATCACTTACTGCCACTTCAGCTTGACTAATCCTGTGTTTCATTGATAACTGTAGTTCTTCAAAGGATGTTTTCATTTATACTCTCACTAGCGACCCGCCCCGGCTTCGCATGCGTGCAATATGCATGTATTATACATATAAACCTTCCTTAAAAACCACTATATCTATTAAAAAACCACATCAAAATCCGTTATGTAGTTTCAAAGATCTAAGCATAGTAGCATACAGAGGGACAGACAGAAGGCGGATAGCAACTTTGTTTTATACTATGTAATGATAATATGGGTACAAGTATACTTGACCCATCAAGAGTAGGACAATCAAGTGTGAGTGAGCCATGCTTAGGCATGAATGTGCCGGCTCAAATCCCCACAATACTCGAGTTTCCAATTCCAAAAGGCCTGTAACGCACTTGTAACAGATCGGCATCGCTTATGCCTCTGGTGTGTCCATAAGCGATGCCGATCTTACCATCAGGTGATCCGAATGCTCGTTTACCGGTTTATCCCTTAAAAAAATACATAAGCAAAAGTTAATACATTGGTTAATGGCATTGTTTTTGGTGTCCACAGTAAAATGGCCAATTTCCTGCTGCGCCGTGCGCTGCTAGATGCAGTCCGTGTACCAGTCTGCACCAGGGCCTCATCCTCCTCCGTCGGTGAGCTTGCCAAGGTAAGAAGCGACAATTGTAACAATAACATGGCTTTTTACTATCCCATATGTGATAAAGGTGTAAGAATAACGAATAAACCACTGAATTACTACAGGACACTTTCTAAGTCAAAGAAGAACCAATTGTTATTTAAGCAGGATTTCAAAATTCACTGTAATTCATAGAACATGCAGAGTTTGGTTTTGTCAATGTCTAATTCCTTACAATATTGTCTAGTAAAACCGCTGCCTTGTAGCCTATTTGCAGAAATATATTCATTTGTTTCACTTGTTTAATATGATGACCACTCTCTCTGATTTATTCTTTTTTTTAAATGAAACATATTAACTCCGCAGACTCGTGATCCGTGCCCTTGTCATACATTTTATTACTCAGTTTCATTCTTAGTAAATATCTACCTACAACTTTAAACATGTCTGTTTAATTAAACATTTAACACAAATGATTTCAGATTGGCAACCGAGAGTGGGTAGGCTATGGTTTCAACGGCCAGCCTAACTATGTGGACAGGCCTGATTTCCCCCTGCCCGCCGTCAGGTTCCGCGCCGACACACCCGACATTAAGGTAAATCTTTTAATGTATATATATTTACTGTATCTTTTAATGACTATCTAGGCGTATCAGCTATCCATTCACTAGTATACATGTATTGTAGTGTAGAAGAACTTATATTTTCATGGTCAGCTGTATGTAGTATACATATTGTTGCCACATGGCGTAAGGCACCTACAAAAGAACTAAATCAATTGTAAAAAGTTATATGTTTAGAAAATAGGGCGGGCACAAATCCTATTAATCTGAATTCAAGAAAATTCTCTAACTTTATCACATTGCTGACAATGAAATTTCATCTTCCAGGTCCTCCGTGAGAAGGAAAAGGGAGACTGGCGCAAGTTGACCCTTGAGGAGAAGAAAACCCTGTACCGTGCCTCCTTCTGTCAGACCTTTGCTGAGTTCCAGGCCCCTACCGGAGAGTGGAAGGGCGTGCTGGGCTGGTCCCTCGTTGTGGCTTCCATGGCCGTCTGGATCTACATGGGCATGAAGCTCTTTGGTGAGATATATTGATGATTCCAATCGATATTACAAAGTTATTATGATGCATTTAAAACCTTTGAAAGACCAGTTATTCATTTATTTTAATTTATAGTTGACCATTTTTTTTAATAAATACAATTTACTAGTTTTGGTAAATCTGAAGGATTTTTCCTTGTTAGCTTAGTAGCCGTTGAGGCTACTGTAGAGCGTTTAATTCCCATAGACAAAGTATTATAAATTCTAATATATTCGAAATTTTCCACCTTGCACCCACGAGACAAATATAGTTAATTGTTAATAAATTATTTTATCTTGAATTCAGCTTTTGCTTGCTACTTCATACGGGTTAAGGATCTAATCATCTAAGCATACATAGGCACAGACAGCGGAAAG